AGGGGTGGGCGTGGGCTGCATACCCCTCCTCACCATCTGAGGAGAAAGAGTAAAAAAAAAAAAAAAAAAGAAAGAAAAAAAGGGGGTTTTTTGGGGGTGACGGGTTTTTTTTTGGTTTGGTTTGGGGTTTTTTTTGAGGGGAGGGGGGAGCGTCTCGACGACAGTCTGGGGAGCATTTGGCGGCGCGGAGGTGCGTTTCCAGGCGCTCAGGTGTCATTCACACACACACACACACCCCCCCCCGAAAGAAAAAGAAAAAAAAGGGTTTTTTTTGGGGGGTGATGATTTTTTTTTTGTTTTGTTTTGTTTTTTTGAGGGGAGGGGGGAGCGTCTCGACGACAATCTGGGGAGCGTTTGGCGGCGCGGAGGTGCGTGTCCAGGCGCTCAGGTGTCATTCACACACACACACCCCCCCCGAAAAAAAAAAAAAGGGGGTTTTTTGGGGGTGATGGGGTTTTTTTTGTTGTTTTGGGTTTTTTTGAGGGGAGGGGGGAGCATCTCGACAACAATCTGGGGAGCGTTTGGCGGCGCGGAGGTGCGTTTCCAGGTGCTCAGGTGTCATTCACACACACACCCCCCCCCCGAAAAAATAAGAAAGAAAAAAAAAAAAGAGGGTTTTTTTGGGGTGATGGGTTTGGTTTGGTTTGGTTTGGGGTTTTTTTTTGAGGGGAGGGGGGGAGCGTGTCGGCGACAATCTGGGGAGTGTTTGGCGGCGCGGAGGTGCGTTTCCAGGCGCTCAGGTGTCATTCAGACACACACCCCCCCCCCGAAAAAAAAAAAAAGAAAGAAAAAAAGGGGTTTTTTTGGGGGTGATGGGTTTTGTTTGGTTTGGTTTGGTTTTTTTTTTGAGGGGAGGGGGGAGCGTCTCGATGACAATCTGGGGAGCGTTTGGCGGCGCGGAGGTGCGTGTCCAGGTGCTCAGGTGTCATTCACACACACACACACCCCCCCCGAAAAAATAAGAAAGAAAAAAAAAAAAAAGGGTTTTTTTTTGGGGGTGATGGGGTTTTTTTGTTTTGGTTTGTTTTGGTTTTTTTTTTGAGGGGAGGGGGGAGCGTCTCGACAACAATCTGGGGAGCGTTTGGCGGCGCGGAGGTGCGTTTCCAGGCGCTCAGGTGTCATTCACACACACACCCCCCCCCCCAAAAAAAAAAAAAAAGAAAGAAAAAAAGGGTTTTTTTTGGGGGTGATGGGTTTTTTTTGGTTTGGTTTGGGGTTTTTTTTGAGGGGAGGGGGGAGCGTCTCGACGACAATCTGGGGAGCGTTTGGCGGCGCAGAGGTGCGTTTCCAGGCGCTCAGGTGTCATTCAGACACACACACACCCCCCCCCCGAAAAAATAAGAAAGAAAAAAAAAAAAGAGGGTTTTTTTGGGGTGATGGGTTTGGTTTGGTTTGGTTTGGGGTTTTTTTTTGAGGGGAGGGGGGAGCGTCTCGACGACAATCTGGGGAGCGTTTGGCGGCGCGGAGGTGCGTGTCCAGGCGCTCAGGTGTCATTCACACACACACACCCCCCCCGAAAAAAAAAAAAAGGGGGTTTTTTGGGGGTGATGGGGTTTTTTTTTGTTGTTTTGGGTTTTTTTGAGGGGAGGGGGGAGCATCTCGACAACAATCTGGGGAGCGTTTGGCGGCGCGGAGGTGCGTTTCCAGGTGCTCAGGTGTCATTCACACACACACCCCCCCCCCGAAAAAATAAGAAAGAAAAAAAAAAAAGAGGGTTTTTTTGGGGTGATGGGTTTGGTTTGGTTTGGTTTGGGGTTTTTTTTTGAGGGGAGGGGGGAGCGTGTCGGCGACAATCTGGGGAGCGTTTGGCGGCGCGGAGGTGCGTTTCCAGGCGCTCAGGTGTCATTCAGACACACACCCCCCCCCCGAAAAAAAAAAAAAGAAAGAAAAAAAGGGGTTTTTTTTGGGGGTGATGGGTTTTGTTTGGTTTGGTTTGGTTTTTTTTTTGAGGGGAGGGGGGAGCGTCTCGATGACAATCTGGGGAGCGTTTGGCGGCGCGGAGGTGCGTGTCCAGGTGCTCAGGTGTCATTCACACACACACACACCCCCCCCGAAAAAATAAGAAAGAAAAAAAAAAAAGGGTTTTTTTTGGGGGTGATGGGGTTTTTTTGTTTTGGTTTGTTTTGGTTTTTTTTTTGAGGGGAGGGGGGAGCGTCTCGACAACAATCTGGGGAGCGTTTGGCGGCGCGGAGGTGCGTTTCCAGGCGCTCAGGTGTCATTCACACACACACCCCCCCCCCCAAAAAAAAAAAAAAAGAAAGAAAAAAAGGGTTTTTTTTGGGGGTGATGGGTTTTTTTTTGGTTTGGTTTGGGGTTTTTTTTGAGGGGAGGGGGGAGCGTCTCGACGACAATCTGGGGAGCGTTTGGCGGCGCAGAGGTGCGTTTCCAGGCGCTCAGGTGTCATTCAGACACACACCCCCCCCCCGAAAAAAAAAAAAGAAAGAAAAAAAGGGGTTTTTTTGGGGGTGATGGGTTTTGTTTGGTTTGGTTTGGTTTTTTTTTTGAGGGGAGGGGGGAGCGTCTCGATGACAATCTGGGGAGCGTTTGGCGGCGCGGAGGTGCGTGTCCAGGTGCTCAGGTGTCATTCACACACACACACACCCCCCCCCGAAAAAATAAGAAAGAAAAAAAAAAAAAGGGTTTTTTTTGGGGGTGATGGGGTTTTTTTGTTTTGGTTTGTTTTGGTTTTTTTTTTGAGGGGAGGGGGGAGCGTCTCGACAACAATCTGGGGAGCGTTTGGCGGCGCGGAGGTGCGTTTCCAGGCGCTCAGGTGTCATTCACACACACACCCCCCCCCCCAAAAAAAAAAAAAAAGAAAGAAAAAAAGGGTTTTTTTTGGGGGTGATGGGTTTTTTTTGGTTTGGTTTGGGGTTTTTTTTGAGGGGAGGGGGGAGCGTCTCGACGACAATCTGGGGAGCGTTTGGCGGCGCAGAGGTGCGTTTCCAGGCGCTCAGGTGTCATTCAGACACACACACACCCCCCCCCCGAAAAAATAAGAAAGAAAAAAAAAAAAAGAGGGTTTTTTTGGGGTGATGGGTTTGGTTTGGTTTGGTTTGGGGTTTTTTTTTTGAGGGGAGGGGGGAGCGTCTCGACGACAATCTGGGGAGCGTTTGGCGGCGCGGAGGTGCGTGTCCAGGCGCTCAGGTGTCATTCACACACACACCCACCCCCCCCCCGAAAAAAAAAAAAAGAAAGAAAAAAAGGGTTTTTTTGGGGGTGATGGGTTTTGTTTGGTTTGGTTTGGGTTTTTTTTTGAGGGGAGGGGGGAGCGTTTCGACGACAATCTGGGGAGCGTTTGGCGGCGCGGAGGTGCGTTTCCAGGTGCTCAGGTGTCATTCACACACACACCCCCCCCCGAAAAAAAAAAAAAAGAAAAAGAAAAAAAGGGTTTTTTTGGGGGGTGATGATTTTTTTTTTTGTTTTGTTTTGTTTTGTTTTTTTGAGGGGAGGGGGTAGCATCTCGACAACAATCTGGGGAGCGTTTGACGGCGTGGAGGTGCGTTTCCAGGCGCTCAGGTGTCATTCACACACACCCCCCCCCCAAAAAAAAAAAAAAAAAAAAAAAAAACTTGATCAGCCCATCAAACCCGACTCGATCAGCCCATCCCCACCCTTGGCTTTTTGAGCTGAGGCTCCCGAACGATCGAAGGTGTTGAAACGGGGTGAGTGGAGGGGCTGGTGCCGTTGCTGCTTCGCTCAGAGCCAGGGCTGAGCAAATCCTGACCCCCCCCCCCCAACCCCCCCCCCCCAACCCCCCCCCCAACCCCCCCCCCAACCCCCCCGTGTTGGTTTTCCAACTCGCCCCGCGCTTTCCTTCCGGCGGTGCTGGTGGAGGCTGGGGCCGGGCTGAATTGTGACATAAAACCAACCGTTTTAATGCCTTTGAAAATATATCCACCCGTTCTGGCGGCAGCGAAGGGCCCCTCACCCCCCCCCCCCCCCCCCCAAAAAAAAAAACAAAAAAAAACAAAAAAAAACTCAAACCCACCAGCGTCGGTTCCCGGGCTGCATCCAGGCTTTTTGCATTTTATGGTGCTTCTTACACAAGACGCCGCTGGCTTCTCGAAGCTGGGTGGGGAAAACTTCTTTCCCCGAGAGCGGCGGGATGGGGAAATTCGGGAGGGGGGAGCCGGGGTCGGTTAAACCGCGTCGTTTCGGGGCGAGTTTTGGGGGGGGGGGGGAGGGCTGGGGCGTGAAACGGCGCTGAGCAACGGTCGCGGGGTTGCGAAAGGGGCACCGGGCCCAGGCGTCGTGCGGTGGAGATGCCCCTTCAATTAAACATTGACGGGGTCTCAGGATATTTCGGGGGGGGGGGGGGGCGAGGAAAATACGCGTAGAATTTGTCAGCTCTGGAAGCCCCCCCGGGGTATGGGGGGGGGGAGAGGGAGGGGGAAATCCCACGTGGGGGGGACACGTCGCTACGAAGGGCGGTCGTGGGTTGGTGGAGCTGGCAGGGGTGAGATTCCCCGCCCTGGGGCTTTTTTTTTTTTTTTTTGGGGGGGGGGGGGGTGTTGCTGCGCCAGGAAAGGTTTTGGGGCTTGGGGGGGGGGGGGGGTGTGTGTGGGGGGGGTGGATTTTTAGGGGGGGGGGCCTGCCTGCGCCGCGGCAGCTCTTCAGGGTTTCTCTTGCGTGGCCGTGAACCTCCGTGTCCCCCCCCTTCAAGGTTCTGGGTGGCCCCCCCCCCTCAAGGCTCTGGGGGGTGTCCCCCCCCCACCATGCCACCCTTCAGCAGAGCCATCATTTCACCCTGCTCCCCCCCCCCCCGCCTGCTCGGGCAGCCGACGCTCATCCCGCCGGCAGCGGCGAAGGGCCGGGGGGTCTCACCCCGTGGCCTCCCCCAGCCCCATCTTTTTTTGGGGGGGGGGGGGGGGGGGGGCTCCAAGCCTGCCCCCCCCCACTTTGCACCAAGCCATGGGGCGCTGGCTGGTCACCCCCAAATCCCCACCCCCACTTGCTCACACCTGGCGCCCGGCGCCGCTCGGGATTTTAACTTTGGGGGTATGTGTGGGTGTCTGTATATTCAGGTACTATGTATATTTTAGGTGTATATAAGGAGCATAGGTGGCTATAAATGTGATTTGTCAGTATAAAGCTATTTCCTCCGTGCGTATCAACTGCTGGGTTCGCTGGAGGGGGGAATTCAGTTGGGGTTTCCATGCTGCTGAGAGTCGTTAAAAAAGGAAAAAAGAAAAAAAAAAAAAGAAAAAAAGGAAAAAAAAAAAAAAAAAGAAAAAAAGAAATAGAAAGAAAAAAAGAAAAAAAAAAAAGAAAAAAAGAAAAAAAGGGAAAAAAAAAAAACAAAGCAAAACACCAACAAGCACTGGAATCAAACTGAAGTTGCTTTTTGGGCCATGAACTGCAGAAATAACTGAGCTGGAGCTGCGGCGGGGTCTCTGCAGAACAACCAACCTCCATCCCCCCCCCCATTTATTTTTTTGGTCTCTCTGCCCAAATTCCCCGGGCTGCAGAGCTGGGCAGCTCGCGCTCCCCCCGGCCCCGGCCCTGCCTCTTACGTGGGGCTCCTCTCCCGGCGTCCCCTTGTCCCCTCTGATGTCCCTTCTCCCTCCCAGCATCTCCCACCCGGGCCCCCGCGTCCCTAAAAATGGGAATTTTGGACAAAATACACTTGTGAGACCAGCAGCTCAAAGGTTTGGGCTGTTGGGGACCCCCCGGGCTCTCGGGTGTCCCCTGGCCGTGCCGCTGGGGCTCCCCGGGTTTTTTTCCCCAGGGATTGATTTATTTTTCTTTTTTTTTTTTTTTGCTTTGTGGACGAACCAAAGAGAAAAGGCTTTTCAGCAGGGCTGCAGCCCCTCCAGCCTCGGCCCCAAACTGCTGGTAGGGGAGAGAAAAATACAGAATTTGGGGAAAACGGGCCCCGGGTAGCCCAGGGAAGGTGAACTGGGAGAGCGCGTCCCGCTCGGCGCAATCCTCGGGCAACCCCGCATCCTCGAATTCAAGGAAAACCCCAAATTTTTACACGATCCTCGTGGCGCCGGCACGTTTCTGTGTCCTCGAACCACGCTGCGCTCCCCGCGCCGGAGGGTTTTGCTGCGCCGCTTCTCCCCCCACCCTACGCACACCAACCCGTGTCCCCACCCCAAAAGAGTATTTTTATTGTCACTTAACCCTTTTTTTTTTTTTTTTTTTTTTAATTAAAACCGAGAGAAATTCATCCCTCTGCCTGGCTGGTGTGGCGTCTTTGAGCGAGGCGGCGAGGGCGATGGTTGGATCGCCGGCTGGGGACGGGGTGTTTGGATGAGGCCGAGCTCCGAGCAGGGCGAGGGGGGGATTTATTCAAAAAAAATAACGTGAAGAAAAAGGGATGAGGGGGAAGGGGGGGGGGGGGTCCTGGTTTTTCACCCGGGAGGAGCGGGAGGCCGAGCGTGGCTGGCTGGAGCCGGGGAGCCGGGGTGGGGGGGGGGGGGTGGGGGGGCCCCGTTTGCACCCTCACGCCGCAAATTTGGGAGCGGGGGCCGGGAAGGGGCCGGGGATGGGGAAGAATCGGCTCCTCGGAGCCTCCGGCATCTCCACCAGCTCCGGCGCGGGGCCAAGGAAAATCCCAGCAACCCGATCCCTTCCCCGCAGCGGCGGGGGCCCCGCTGTTTATCCTGGAAGGGAAAGCGGCCGAAACTGGGAAACTGGGGTGGGGTGTGTGTGGGGGGGTCGTGTGTGTCCCCCCCCCCCACCCTTTTCCCTGAATTTGAGCGCGTGTGTGTCCCCCTCATCGTCTGGTTTTTATCCCCTCGGCCCTCATGGCGCTGGTGCTGGGAGCTGTGCTGGTGGCGGCGGCGGGCGCTGCGCTCCCCCCGGGGCTGCCGGCACCCGCGACCCGGCACCCCACGACCTGGGCACCCCGCGACCCGGCACCCCGCGACCCGGCACCCCACAACCAGGCACCCCGCGACCAGGCACCCCGCGACCTGGCACCCCGCGACCTGGCAACCCCGTGACCTGGCACCCCACAACCAGGCACCCCGCGACCTGGCACCCCGCGACCCGGCACCCCGCGACCTGGCACCCCGCGACCTGGCACCCCACAACCCGGCACCCCGCGACCTGGCACCCCACGACCTGGCACCCCGCGACCTGGCACCCCGTGACCTGGCACCCCGCGACCCGGCACCCACGACCTGGCACCCCGTGACCTGGCACCCCACAACCTGCACCCGCGACCCCGGCACCCCACACACCAGGCACCCCACAACCCGGCACCCCGCGACCTGGCACCCCACGACCTGGCACCCCGCGACCCCTGGCACCCCACAACCTGGCACCCCGCGACCCGGCACCCCACAACCAGGCACCCCGTGACCTGGCACCCCACAACCTGGCACCCCGCGACCTGGCACCCCCGCGACCCGGCACCCCGTGACCTGGCACCCCGCAACCTGGCACCCGCAACCCGGCGACCTGGCACCCGCAACCTGGCACCCCGCAGACCTGGCACCCCGTGACCTGGCACCCCACAACCTGGCACCCCACGACCTGGCACCCCGCGACCCGGCACCCCGCAACCTGGCACCCCACAACCGGGCACCCCGCGACCTGGCACCCCGTGACCCGGCACCCCACAACCTGGCACCCCACGACCTGGCACCCCGCGACCCGGCACCCCGCAACCTGGCACCCCACGACCGGGCACCCCGCGACCGGGCACCCCACGACCCGGCACCCCGCGACCCGGCACCCCGCGACCCGGCACCCCGCGACCTGGCTCGATCGGTGCTGGAGACCCACGGGCAGGAGCTGCGGTTGCTCAAGCTGCTGGGAGTCACCAGGACGGTAGGAAAAGGGGACGGGGGGTCCCCGGATTCACCACTCTGCTGTGGAAGAAGCAGCGTAGCGGGGGGACGACACCCCCTATTTTTTCCACCGGGGTAGCTCCATCTGTTTTTTTTTTTTTGGTTTGGTTGGTTTGGGTTTGGTCTGTGGTTTTTTTTTTGCTTTGTTTTTTTGTTTGTTTGGGTTTGGTTTTTTTTTGTTTGTTTGTTTTTGGTTTTGTTTTTTTGGTCTCTTTTTTTTGTTTGGTTTTTTTTTTTTTGGTTTGTTTTGGGGTTTTTTTTGGTCTCTTTTGTTTTGTTTTGTTTTGGGTTTTTTTTTGGTTGTGGTTTTTTTTGTTTGTTTGTTTGTTTTTGTTTGGGTTTTTGTTTTTTGTTTTTTTTTTTTTTTTTTCCAGACGTTCGACTGGGGTACCCATTTCAGCATCAACTTCACCGCCCGCCAGCCCGCTTGCCCCAAAAACCTCCCCGACCGCCGCGGCGCCGGCTGCCAAGCGCGGCCGGGCAGGGTAAGCGTGGGGACGGGACGGGGGGGGGTGTGGGGGGGTGTCCCCCAAAAAAACACCGACGGGGCACAGCAGGGGGGGTCCCCGAGGCGCTCAGGGTCCCCACACCCCCCCCCCAGGTGCAGCGGTGCACGGCCCAGGTCTCCGTTTTCGCCTTCCTGCCCGACGTGCCGCTGTCGATGGTGGAATGCGGCCGGGAGCCGGTGAGGGCTGCGGGGTCCCCCCTCTTCCTCACTTTCGGGGGGGGGGGGGGGGGGGGTACGTGTCCCCCCCACACACACAGTTTGGGGACATTTTTTTTTGGCCGCAGGGTGAAACCCACCCTTATTTCTTCCCCCCCCCTTCTCCCCAGCAGCCCGGCGGCAGCACCCAGCCTCGCCCCCCCGGCGCCCCGCGAGCCTTCGGCACCAGCCCGGGTCACTCCTCCTCCTCCTCCTCCTCCTCCTCCTCCTCCTCGAGGCCACCCCCTCGTCCTCGCCCCCCCGCCAGCGCGTCCCTCACAGGGACTTCCCGCCGCTTTTTGTCCCCAACGGACCTGGAATAAAGAGATTTCGGGGTCGTACGTGTGCGTGCGTGGAGGGGGGGGGGGGGTGTGGGGTGTGACAGAGATTGGGGGGCTCGGGGAGGGGGGGGTACACACACACACACACTCACACCCCCCCCCCCCCGGTGTTGGGAAACAGCGATGGGGCAAGCGTGGGGTTGGGCAAGTCCTGGGGGCACGACGGGCAACGCTCCCGGTGTCACCTGTGCCACCGTGTGTGTGTGTGTGTCCCCCCGTGCCCCGAGGGGACGCGGGGACGGTCCCCAAGGGCCCCCAGCGCTGCAAACCGACCCCCCCCCCCCCAAGCACCCAGCCAAGGGGTTCCCAGGGTTGGGGGACACGGTGGGGAGCGGGGTTGTGTCCCCAAAGGGGACCCAGACATGCGGCTCAGGACCTGCCCCCCCACCGCGCTGTGTGTGTATGTGTGCGTGTGTGTGTGTGTCGCCCCCCCCCCCCAAAAAAAAAAAAAAACCTGCCACTCTGCGGGTTTCCGGAGGCGGGGAGCCGAACGTGGGGGGGGGGGGGGTGGGCTCCCCAACATCCCAGGAAGGGATAAAAGGGGACCCGGGGATGGGGGGGGGGGGAGGTAGCGGTGGTGGCCGTGGCAGGCGGGGGACAAGGATGCTGAGCTCCTGGGTGCTGAGTTCCTGGGTGCTGGTGCTGGTGGCGCTGGGGGGGGGGTGCGCCCTCCCCGCCCCGGCCCCCCTCGCCTACACCCAGGCGCTGGCTCAGGCCGTGGATTCCTACAACCAGCGCCCCGAGGTGCAGAACGCCTTCAGGCTGCTCAGCGCCGACCCCGAGCCCGCCCCGGTGAGTGTGGACCCACTCGTGACGAGGGGGGTGGGCTGTTTTTTTTTTCTGTTTTTTTGTTTTTTTTTATTTTATTCCCCCCACCCACTCGTGACCCCGCAGGGCGTCGAGCTGAGCACGCTGCGGGGACTCAACTTCAGCATGATGGAGACAGAGTGCGCCCCGAGCGCCGGGGTGAACCCCGACGACTGCGACTTCAAGGAGAACGGGGTGAGGATGAGGATGGGGGGGGGGGGGGTGTGACACCGTGGGGGTGGGGGGGGAGCTGGGTGTCATCGCTGGGGCTCCCCTGGGTGACACTGGGTGTCATTGTCCCCCACCCCACCCACCCAGGTCATCAAGGAGTGCTCGGGGCCGGTGCAGTTCCTGCAGAGCTCCCCCGAGATCGACCTGCGCTGCACCGACGCCTCCTCCAACGTGAGTGGGGGGGGGGGGGGTCCCAGGGGGGCAGCACCCACCCCCCACCTCCCCCCCCCCCCCCCGGGCACCCACTGGTCGTGGGTGGGAGCACCCATGGGTGGGGTGTTGGTGTCGCCCCCTCCTGCCCCTCGGAAGGGACAATCCTGACCACGACGGCTCCAACCCGCTGGGGGGGCGGGATCCTGGGGCACCCGTGGGGTGCTGGGTGCTGGGTACAGGTCCTGAGTGGGGTTCCCTGGTGTGGGCTCTTGGGCATGGGGGGTGCTGGGTGGGGTCCCCAGTGGGGGCTTCTGGGCGTGGGGTCCCAGTTGGGGGGTCCTGGGTGTGGGGTCCCAGTTGGGGGGTCCTGAGTGGGATCCCAGTTGGGGGGTCCTGGGTGGGGGTCCCAGTTGGGGGGTCCTGAGTGGGATCCCAGTTGGGGGGTGCTGGGTGGGGTCCCCAGGGAGAGCTCCTGCGTGTGGGGGTCCCAGTCTGGGGGGTCCTGAGTGGGGTCCCAATTGGAGGGTGCTGGGTGGGGTCCCAGTTGGGGGGTCCTGAGTGGGGTCCCCAGTGCGGATTCCTGGGTGTGGGGTCCCAGTTGGGGGGTGCTGGGTGGATTCCCATTTGGGAGGTCCTGAGTGGGGTCCCAGTTGGGGGTTCCTGGGTGTAGGGTCCCGGTTGGGTGGGTCCTGAGTGGTGTCCCAGCTGGGGGGGGGTGCTGGGTGGGGTCCCCAGTGTGGTCTCTGGGGTGTGGGGTCCCAGTCTGGGGGTTCCTGAGTGGGGTCCCAGTTTAGGGGGTCCTAGTGGGGTCCTAGTTGAGGGGTCCCGAGTGGGGTCCTGGGTGTGGGGTCCCACGGGTGGTTCCTAAGTGGTGCCCCAGCTGGGGGGGTGCTGGGCGGGGTCCCAGTTGGGGGGTGCTGGGTGCAGGGCGCTGGGTGGGGGAGGAACCTGGGTGCAGGGTCTCAGGTGTGGGGTCCCCCAGGTGGGGACCTGGGTGGATACTCCTGGGTGGGGGGGTCCCCAGCAGCCCCACCCCCCCCCCACCCCGGTGACCCCCACTGTCCCTTTGGCAGCCGGTTCTTGTCCAGCGGGGCCGGTTCGGGCGTTTCTTGGGCAGAATCCGGCGTTTTCGACCCCGAATCAGCTTCAGCATCCACGCCAGGGGCAGCGTCCGCTTGGGCTGAGCCAATAAAGGGGCCGTCGTGAGGGAGCCTGGCTCCTGGCTGATTTTTGGGGTGCAGGGAGGATTGGGGGGGGGGGGAGGAAGGGGAAACTGAGGCACAGCGGTGAGGGGCTCCTCCCCTGTCACCTCCCCCACCCGTGGGGTCAGGGGCTCGGCCCTGAGGGGACGTGGGGTCATCCCTGGGGAGCCCTCAGGGCACCTCCACTCCCCCCCCAAAAATAAAAAGCAGCTGGTCACGTCACACACACACCCCCCCCACACCCCCCCCATGGCATCATCCCCCCTGGGGGGACCCCACAACTGGCGCAGGCTCCTGGGGGACCCTCTGGTCTCCGAGGGGTTTTGGGGTGCAGTGGGGGACCCAGCCCCGGGGGTCCCCGCACGAGGCCAGTGCCAGGATGAGGCCCCGGGGGGGAGCTGACCCTGCTTCCCCCCCCCCCCCCCCCCCCCCCCAGGGACCCTCCGGATCAGCATCTCCCCCACCCAGTCCTGGGGGGTGGGTGGGGGGAGGTGACAACGGGGTGGTGGCACCCATCAGGGAGAGGTGGCACCCATCAGGGAGAGGTGGCACCCATCCCCGGGTGCCTGGGGCCAGCCCAAGGGGGAGCAGCTCACCCCACACCCTTAAACCCCCCCCCCAAGGTTCTGGTGTCCCCCCCAGCGTCCCTATGGGGACATGGGGGGACCCGAGCAGTGTCACAGTGTCACCCCCCCCCCCCCTCCAGCACCCAGGAGCTCAGCACCCTCGTCCCCAATCCTGGGAGCCCCTTGGCTGGGTGTTTGGGGGGGGGGGGTGTTGCGGGATGGGGACCGTCCCCACGTCCCCGGGGATGGTGGGGGGGGGGGACATGACACGGCGGCGCAGGGACCCGCGGTGACACCGAGAGCGCGGCGGGGAATGTTTATTTTAAGCAGAGCGCCCGGGCGGGGGGCACAGGGAGAGCTGGGGGGGGGGGACACACACACACACACACGGTGTCACCCGCTCAGGGTTTGGGGGGGTTGAGGTCGAGTTTGTCCCGGATCCAGATCTTGCCGCACTGGATGAAACCCCCGAAACGCTCCTTGATCCGGGTGAAAAAATCCGAGAGTCTGGATTTCCCGAAACGGCCGAACTGGGAGGAGAAGCAACTGGTGTCAAACCTCGAGGGGACCGGGGAGGGGGTGACGTGTGTGTGTGTGTCGTCCCCCCCCCCCCGGCCACCAGGGAGGGGCCGGCGCCGGTTTTGGGCCCCTTCTTACCGCGTTGGGCACCTTGTCGCAGGACAGCTCGACCGTGGGCTGCTGCTGCTCGAGGAAGACGAAGCCCCGGCACCAACTCACCGCCTGCGAGGAAGAGGAGGCTGAGAAAAACCCGGACCTTTCCCCGTGCCTCAGTTTCCCCAGCGCCTGCTCCCCGCTGGGGAACGCTCACCCCGAGCCAGCGGCTCTTGCAGGCGGCGGTGGCCGTCCCCGGGGCTCGGCATGAGGTCTCCTCGACGGTGAAGCTCAGCTCCTGCCGGTGCTGCAGTCCCGCGGGCTGGGAGAGGACACAGGACCCATCAAACCCCCCAACACTCAGCCCCAAAACGGGCCGGATCCAGCCCCGTGAGGGGCCACATCCAGCCTGGACTCAGCCTTAACTTAGGTGGGCTCCATCCCTACAAAGGGGTTGGACTCAGCCTCAAAACGAGCCGGATTCAGCCCCACGCTCCCAAAAAAAACAAAACAAAACAAAACAAAAAGGGCCGTATCCTGCTCCAGGGATGAAGGAGCTCAGCACTCACCCAGCCGGGCCGGGGCTGGGCCTCCCGGAGCCGCAGGACGTAAGGACTGACGGACCTGGCGTTGAGCAGCTCCACGGCCGCCGAGACGACGTCGCCGTAAGCCACCGCCGGCGGGACGGACGCCGCCGTGGGTCCATCCGGCGTCGGCGCGGTGGCTTTGGCCGACCCCAGCAGCAGCAGAAGCGACGCCAGCACCCCCCGGCGCGGCCTCATCCTGCTCCCCAACCCCCTGCTCCAGCACCCGCCGCGCCGGGGACCCCTTTTTATAGGAGCTGCCGCGGGCTTCCCCGCCCCGCGCCGACGGGAAATTCCCGGCGGCGGGCCGAATCCGGCCGGGAGCTGAGTCCGTTCCCCAGAGCGGTTGTCCCAGCCTGGTGCTGCCGGTCACCTCTGGGGTTCAAGAAACCGGGGTGCTGAGCAAGGCGCGCCCCCGAGGTGACCCCCGAAAGAGCCGAACCTGGGTTCGTAGGGTGACACCACGTTGGGCTCCTCGCCCCCGTTCTCCCACGGGGCTGGAGGGAGAAGCCGCCCTGCCCCATGGCCGGGGCTTTCCAGCCCCCCCACCCCACCCCGGGGGGGGGTGATTTATGGCTGGGCAGGGCGAAGACATCTGTCCCTGACGGCAAACGAGGTGGGTTTGACCAAACACCAGCCGTGGGAGCGGTTCGCCTTCTCCGAAGCGGAGCAGGAACCTCCAGGAGAACATCAAGAGACCCTGCCCAGAAGATGACCCACCCGCCGGCCACGCGCAGCCGAGGGGAAGCCCAAAGCCACCCAAACGGGGTTCAGAGGTCCCGGTGGGTGCAGGTCGTGGAGCTCCCAGCAGGTTGTAAATCAAGCGGGGACGAGCGCGCCCAGGTCCGAGCTGGCGGCAGGGAAGTCCCCAGGGACGGATGGTGTCGCTCACAAGAGCCGTGGGTCAGCCCGGGTTGGTCCCGGAAAGCTCCGGGTGCGACCAGGTCCAACCTTCCGCTGAGACAGGGCCCTCGGTGGGATTGTCTCCCTCCCCATCCCCGTTCATCTCGAGAAGCTCCAGCAACGGGAACTCCACCGCGTCCCCGGGGAGGTTCTTCTGGTCTCACTGTACGACTGAAGTTGAGATGAAGCCTCTCCCAGTTATCCGTTGTTGCCCCTTGTTTTTTCCACGTAGCTCCTTAAAAGCCTCCACCCTTTGAGTACTGGTCTACCGTGATGAGGCCCCCCCCCCAAAATCTTCTCCTCTCCAGGGAGAAGAGACTCAACTCCTTCAGTTTTTCCTCCTAGAGCAGGGTTCTCCAGACCTCTGAGCATCATCCTGGTCCTCCTTGGGACGCTCTCCATTCTGGCCGCGTCCTTCTTGACTTGCAGGAACCAGAACTGGACCCACCGTTCCAGGGGTGGCCTGGAGGACGGCTTCCCAAGCCCGGCGACCGAGAAGCCAACAACAAGAGGTGGTCCGCTAACAAACAAGGGCAAGCTGGTCGGAGATGAGAAGGTCAGGGGCAGCCCTGGTTGCGGTGACCACGAGATGGGTGGAACTCCAGATTCTGAGGGGTGGGAGCCGGGCAGAAAGCTGGATCTCCACTGTGGAGACTTCAGGAGAGCAGAATTTGGCCTTTTGAGGAACCTGCCTGGAACGATCCCACGGGATAGCGGCCTAGAGAGAAGCGGGGTCTGGGAGAGCTGGTTCATTGCCAAGGATCATCTTCTCCCAGACAAAGCACGGGCCATCCTGATGGCAGGAGGCTAAGAGAGGTGGTGGAAGGTCTGCGTGGATGAGCAAGGAGCTCCTGACTGAGCTCAAGGACAAGAGGGACGCGTACAAGAGGGGGAAGCCGGGGTAAGTGGAAGATGCAGACTCTGCCCAAGGGGCAGGGCTGGGTTTAAGCGAGCCAAAGCCCACCAGGGCTTGTACCCAAGGAGACAACCCAAGGTCAGGAGCCATCAGCACGGCCTGAGAATAGGCTCAACAGCCAAGCCCAGAGCGTGGTCACAGGTCCTGATGCCCTGGTGGTGTTCCCCAGAGGTCCATACTGGGGCCAGAAGCGTTGCACGTCTTCATTAACAACTGGGATGAGGGGGCAAGAGCACACCCGCAGCAGGTTGGTAGACGACACCAAACTGGGAGGAGCGGTTGATGCACCAGAGGGTCGTCCCACCACCCGGAGGGACCTCAGCAGGCTGGAGAGATGGGCCAGGAGGAACCTCGCGGGGTTCAGCAGGGACAAGCGCCACGTCCTGCGCAAGGGAGGAACAAACCCAGGCACCAGGACGGGCCCGGGCCACCCAGCAGCTCCTTGGAGAAGGTCCTGGGAGTCTTGGAGAACACAAAGATGACCGTAAGCCAACACAGGAATTGGTTGCTCAGAGGGGTTGTGGAGTCTCTGGTCTCGGAGATACCCAAAACTCAACTGGAGGTGGCCCCGGGCAACCTGCTGCGGCTGAGCCGGCTCTCGGCAGCGTCCCTGCTGGCCCTTCCATGTTCCTTCAACTTGAGGCGAGCTTTTGAGGATGGCAGATTCTTCCCAAATGTTTCAATTCTTCCAAATTCTTCAATTAAATTCCTTCCAAATTCTTCAATTCATTCCAAATTCCTCCAAAATTCCTCAATTCCTTCAAAATTCCTCCAAAATTCCTTCAAAATTCCTCCAAATTATTTCAAAATTCTTCAATTCCTTCCAAATTCCTCCAAAATTCCTTCCAAATTCCTCCAAAATTCCTTCAAAATTCTTCAATTCCTTCAAAATTCTTCAATTCCTTCAAAATTCTTCAATTCCTTCCAAATTCCTCCAAAATTCCTTCCAAATTCTTCAATTCCTTCCAAATTCTTCAATTCCTTCCAAATTCCTCCAAAATTCCTTCCAAATTCCTCCAAATTCCTTCCAAATTCTTCAATTCTTTCCTTCTTCAGTTATATAGAAAAGTGGATTCAGGTGGGACACACAGCACCGGGGGTCCTTGCTGGGCCTCCTGCCCCTCCGTAGCACAACACCGAGGTGAACAAAGTCGGCGCATTTTATCGGAGCCAAAATCCCTCTGGATATCAGAAGGGAACATCTGGCCGAGCAGCACCCGCATCCCGTAGGGAAACGGCGCCCGATGCAAGAGCCCAGGTCCCACCCGAGGATGCACCAGGCCTCCAGAAAAAAATTTTTTGCTCCGTTTTTCCTGCAGCTCATACTCAGGATTTAACAGCCACCAAACCCAGCATCAGTGCATCCAAATATTGTTTTTAAATGTTCTGTGTAAACCTCAAGGCAGGCTCACCCCTTTCAAATTAGGCATGAAACCCCACGTGGCCATTTTGGGAACAGAAAGGGAAAATTTGGCGAGTTTTGCCTGGGGGTAACACCACACTCACACAGCCACGGCTGTTCGTCCCAAACCAACTCCCCACCTCTGACTGGGGGCGGGTAAACAACACCCCCAAAACCAAACAAAACAGGCCCCGAGCCGTGAGAAATACCCCGCTCGTAAATCACTCTCTGGCTTTATTTGACCACCACAAGATCGAGCAGCCCCTCCTCGTTCCTGGCAAACCACAGGCTTATTTGCCTTTTATCTGTTCCCACAGCCCAGCCCTGATCTGTTTGGACGCTGATACAGTGGGAAAAGAAAACACAGAGGGGTGAGGGGAGGCAGAACTCGGTTAACCTTAGCGGTGACACCCCGGCAGGTAAAGCAGGGGGCTGGGTGATCCCCCAGAGCGAGCCAGCGTGGGGGATCCACCCCCGAGAAGCCAGGCAGCTGAAGGGCAGGATTTAAGGGGGCTGGGGAGTCCCTGAGGAAGGGGAGAATGGCAGTGGGGCAGGACGGGGGAGCAGCCCCACAGGCAGAGAAGGAGCCCCAAAAAGGGCGAGCAGCCCCACAGGGAGGGGGAGCCCCAACGAGAGGGAGCAGCCCCACAGAGGGGAGCCCCAAAAAAGGGGAGCAGCCCCACAGGGGAGGAGCCCCAAAGAAGGGGTGCAGTCCCACATGGGGGGGAGCCCCAAAAAAGGGGGAGAGCGGCCCCAAAAAGGGGGGGGAGCGGCCCCAAAAAGGGGGGGAGCGGCCCCAAAAAGGGGGGGGAGCGGCCTCACAGATCGGCCGCCCCACAGAGCAGCCGCCCGGCCTCACCCCCCCCCCCCGCCTCCATCTTCCCCCCGCAGAGCCGGTCCCGCTGCTCTACAAAATGGCGGCCGGGCGGGCCCAGCCTGATCCCGCGGCCTCGCGTAGAGCCGCCCGCCGCGCTCCGGGCCCGGCCGGGCCGCCGGACGACGATGAGGATGATGATGGCGGACGGAGGATGGAGGAGGAGGAGGATGATAATGGCGGCCGCCCTTCCCCTGCCGGCGCCCTACGTAGTGACGTTGCCGGCGCGCTGCCAATAGGGAGCCGCCGCGGCGGCGCTGACGTCGGCGGCGCGGCGCCGGCGCGCATGCGCGTTGTGTCTGCGCTGCCGAGCCGGCGTGTGGCTGGGGCGGGAGAGGTCAGGGCCCGCGGCGGGAAAAACGGCCCCGGTGGGGGCGGAAAATGGTCCCGGGGGGAGAGAGCCCGGAGGGGTCTGAGGGGGAAAACGGCCCCGGGGGGCTTGAGGGGGAAGAGCCCGGGCGGGGTCTGAGGGGGAAACGGCCCCGGGGGGCTTGAGGGGGAAGAGCCCGGGCGGGGTCTGAGGGGGAAAACGGCCCCGGGGGGCTTGAGGGGGAAGAGCCCGGGCGGGGTCTGAGGGGGAAAACGGCCCCGGGGGGCTTGAGGGGGAAGAGCCCGGAGGGGGGTCTGAGGGGAAAACGGCCCCGGGGGGCTTGAGGGGGAAGAGCCCGGAGGGGGGTCTGAGGGGAAACAGTCCCGGGGGGTGTGAGGGGAAAACGGCCCCGGGGGGGGGGGGGGGGGCTGAGGGGAAACGGCTCTGGGGGGTGTGAGGGAAAACGGGGTCTTGGGGTGCAAAACGGCCCTGGGGGGTGTGAGGAGGAAGAGTTCGAGGGGAGACAGCCCTGGGGGGTGTGAGGGGAAATGGGACCGGGTGGGGGGGGAACGGCCCCGGGAGGGGTGTGAGGGGGAAAAGCCCATGGGGCTTCGAGGGGAAACGGCTCCGGGGGGGGGGAAATTGTCCCGGGGAAAGGGGGAAATGGCCCTGGGGGTGTGAGGGGGAAGAGCCCCGGGGACTTAAAGGGGAGACCTGGGGGGGGGGGGGTGGGGGAACAGCCCCCGGGGGGAAAAACGGGACAGGGGGTGTGAGGGGGAAGCGCCCAGGGGGCTCTCGAGGGGAAACAACCCAGGGGAGGAGGTGTGGGCCCCTGGGGGGCTTTGAGGGGGAAGAGCCCTGGAGAAAACAGCCCAGGGAAGTGTGTGCTGGGCCTGGGGGGGGTCTGAGGGGAATAGCTCCAGGGGTGGGGGGGCTGCGAGGGGAAACAGCCTGGAGGAATGTGGGGTGGGTGCAGGAGGCTTTGAGGGGGGAAGAGCCCGGGAGAGGAGGGCAGGATCCAGGGGGAAACAGCCCCAGGGAGGAAGGGCAGGACTGGGGGTGGATCTGAGGGGAATAGCCTCAGGGGTGGGGGGGGCCAGGGAGGAAGGAGCCCCCAGAGGATGGTGTGGGGAAACTGGGAGCGGCGGGGGGGGAAATGGGGCTGTGTCCCCTGAAGCCCAGTTGTGGCGGTGAGGAGCAGGGCGTGCTCCAGACCCACGCCGCCTCGGAGAGCCGCCCCGGGGTTCGGCGGCCCCTCAGGGGGGTCTGGTGACAGCTTAGCCCCCCACGGAGGAGAGTGTGGCCTCTTCCAGAGCGGTGTTTTGCCGGCGGGAAGCTTTTATTGCCTCTTCACATCCAGTATAGCGGGTCGAAACAGTCTTTTCCTCACAGCCGCGACCTGAAGTCAGCTGCCTCCTTTTTACCTCTGACGTCCTCCGGCTCCTAAAAGGTTTCTTTTCCTTCCGTAGCGTTCCCGAAATGTGGCGCTGAGCTCCAGCCTTCCACCCCCTCCTTCCTGCCCTCCACCATGGCAGTCCGTTTGGTGCGACGCTGCTGCTGGCGGCACTTCGGTGCCTTCGTCCCCGCTCCCTCGGCCGTCCCGGCTTCTCTGCTGGCGCCGGCGGGGAAGGTGGCGATGGCCAGAGCTCTGCCTCAAGCACCTTTCGCTTCGCTTCATGCTTCGAGCCCTGCCAGCTGGGCAGACGGATTCTCAGTCAAAGAGCAGGTGGAAGACAGCGGGAACCCAGAGCGCAAAGTGATCGGGGAACTGATCGAAACGGCCATGAGCCCTCAGGAACTCTTCCAGTTGAGTGAACTCCACGTTCTTAATAGTAACGAAGCCTCACTAGTAATTACTCAACTTTCCCGGCTCGCAATGGAAAAACAACTAGAAACGAAGAGCATTCTGCAAGACGGACGTTTCCAACAGCTCATCAGCATCATGGATTCCCAGGTAAGTGCTTTCCTTCCTGCAGAAGAGTTTTGGGGAAAGAATACGAGGTGGAAAGTGGCCGGTGCTCCTGGGATTGAACCGGTGTGGCTGGCTGGAACCGGCTGCTCGTTCAGGATTTTACTTTGCCTTTCCAATTAAAAAAAATGAAGTGGAGAGTGAAATTATCAGCTCTGGCCAGGATGCCTGATTATTTCTATCTAAAAGCTTTGCTTTTTGGACCAGAGACAAAACGTAGAGGTGAGATCATCCTTGTTAAATGCTGCCTTGCTCCTGTCCCCGTGAATTTTTAGCTTTTTCAGTCAGATAAAGCTGCACCTTTGCCAGTTAGTGGCAAAGACATGTCAGAGCCAAGCAGCCTGTGAGTTGTGCTGAGAGCTTGCTGGTGCCTGCAGTGCCTCACCAGGCGTCCCAGTGAATTCAACTGTGATTCTTCTCCCCGGTCATCAGCCCCGGGAGAAGCTGCTGGGTAAGATGGGGCATCTGAAGGGAACCAGTGCCCCGTGCCCGGCACGTCGTATGGTCAAGCCTCAGCAGCCCTGTTAAATCCAGCATCGTCCACTCTGGTTGGTGCTGGCCCAGCTGGCTGCTACGGAAATAGCTGCAGCTCGTGGGCCCCACGTCATGGGATCACAGGATGGTTTGGGTTGGGAGGAACCTTAAAGCCCCCCCAGTGCCACCCCCTGCCCAGGGCAGGGCCCCCTTCCCCCAGCTCAGGGGGCTCCCAGCCCCGTCCAACCTGGCCTTGAACCCTTCCAGGGAGGGGGCACCCACAGCTGCTCTGGGCACCCTGGGCCAGCGCCTCCCCCCCCGCACAGGGAACAATTTCTGCCTTAGATCTCACCTAAATCTGCCCTCTGGCAGCTTAAACCCATCCCCCCTCGTCCTACCCCCACACCCCCTGATCTAGAGTCCCCCCCCACCTTCCCTGTCCCCCCTTTAAGCCCTGGGAGGCCGCTCGAAGGTCCCCCCGGAGCCTTCTCTTCTCCAGGCTGAACCCCCCCAACTCTCTCAGCCCGGCCCCCCAGGGGAGCTGCTCCAGCCCCCCCAGCATCTCCGTGGCCTCCTCTGGCCCCGCTCGAGCAGCTCCGGGTCCTTCTGCTGTTGGGGGCCCCCGAGCTGGCCCCAGCACTGCAGGGGGGTCTCCCCAGAGCGGAGCAGAGGGGGACAATCCCCTCCCCGGCCCTGCTGCCCCCCCTGCTCTGGCTGCAGCCCAGGGCACGGGTGGGTTCTGGGCTGCCAGCGCACGGGGCTGCCTCATGTTCCATTTTACACTCACCAGCACCCCCCAAATCCTTCTCCCTCAGGCTGTTCTCAGTCCACCCATTCCCAGTCTGTGCTGGTACTGGGGGTTGCCCCGACCTGTGAACTTGCCTTGTTGAACTTGCTGCGGTTCCTGGCAGGGCTCTGGGAGTACAAGTGTTCTGCAGAAGCTTTGTATTTCTCCTGATCCATAGTCTCTGCTCCCTAGAACCTGTTGAGGGATAGCAGAGAGGTGGGATTTGTCCTGAGGTTGCCCGGTTAGCTCAGTGAAGCTGAAATGCCTCCGTGCTTCTGTATTTGGAGTGAAAGCACTGCTCCTGCAGGTCTGCATGGTCCTGTGTCGCTGTCCTCGTGGATCAAAGGGGTGCCCATGTCCCTGGGGACCCTTCAGGGAGGAAGGGATGCCCCAGAGCTGGCAGAGCCGAGCTGTCGTGCTGCACGAGCGATTCGACAAGCCAGGCAGTGTGGCTGAAGTGTAGGAAACTGCCAAGAGGGACGTGGCGTGGGATTTTGAGATTTAAAACAAGCAAACTCACTGCAAACACGATCATCCTTCTCCAACGAGCTGTCATTGCAGCCACGGTCGTAGATAACAGAATGCAGGTGGTTGCTGTGTAGGTGCAAAGGCGCTCTGATGCGAAGCAACTAAAATTAATCGGCCTGTAACGTCCTTGTGTTGACAAGCCAGAGATTTTGAACAGAATAACCCAGGGCAAATCGCGAGTTCTGCTCGCTTCTCAGCTGCATCCCGGCCTGTGGTTTTTCAGTTTTTCACAGAGCACCCTGGCAGCGCTCAGGTGGTTCGTGTGCCCGAGGTGCCGAACCATTTCTGAGCAGCGCTTTAGGAATTTGCTGTGCTGGTGGAAGTGCTGGAGTCTGGACAGGCCAGAGAGTTAAAGCCTCTGTTTGCCCAAACCCGTGTGGTCCCTCCTGGCCCGAGCTTCAGCGTCTTGGCGGCACTGCCTCGCTTGCCTCCTGCACGGCCACTCCGAGAAGCAACTCCTTGTTTCTGAAATCATTTTGTAACGTCGGGATGTTCTGTCAGGCAGGCGCTGTGCTCTGTACCGGGGCGGCTGGCGCAGTCATGCTCACTGAAAGGCTCATCAGAACCCACGTTGCGCTAAGGACAGCGTTTGTTTTTATAGAAATCTGGAGAGCTTTCAGGCTGGAATTGCCTTTTAGTGCTTCGCAGCCGTGGCAGAACACAGCTGGGGAAGCTCGGGCTGGAAACAACAAGGTTTTCATTTGCTGGAGTAGCTGAAAGCAGGAAGACCGATCGCTGGTGGAAAACCACGAGCTCCACCTCGCATCGGGGCCGCCGGTGGGAACGCAGCCGGCGGTGGCCCAGCAGAGAAGTTCAGTGGGCAGAGTGTGGCACTGGGCAAGTCCTGGTGCTCCCAGCAGCCCATGGGATTTGAGCCCAGCCTCTTTTTCGGAGAGAAATTGGAGCTTTTAGGATACATTGCATCTGACCCGAGGTGCTGAGGCAAGTTGGGGTCCTGTGGCATTGCCCCCGAGACCCTCAACGTCCTGCCCCTGAATTATCAGTCTTTCCCACTGCTCTTCGTTTTACCAGCCACACCACAAAGAAGCTTAAGTGCTTCCAGAGAAGCATAAAGTCTAGTTAAACATTCCACCCAGCTGGTAGGAAATCTGTGTAACTTCCTTCTCTGAGGCAGGGAATGTTCAGCAGCTATATGGCAGCTCTGTAAGCGACGTGCAGTTACCTCGCGAGGTTCTTTTGTGCCTCAGGCTCAGTGGGTGGTTTTTGGCTTGTGGCACAGGCATTGAGGTTCCCCTTCTCCACCCTGTATCTGACTGCACGAGCTACACCTGTGAGGAGGAGCCGAGGCCTCGGGTTGTGGTGGGGGACTCATTTGCTTCCCCTCGACGCTGCATAGCTCTTTCTGTAGAGACAGAGCCTTGCCTGGTGTTGGGCGTGACCAGCAACTGAATATTCTTGTGTTGTCTCATCACCACCTTTCTCTTATTTCCCTCTGCTGCCCAGATTTCTCAGGTGTGGAATAACACCTTGGTGAACCTCCTGAAGAGCCTCTACTCCCTGGGGGTGGACAGCAACAGGAGGGAGATGCAGTCGGTGGAGCAGGAGGTGCTGTGGAGGCTGCGGCGCCTCACCTTCAGGCAGCTTGCCTCCCTGGCGGAGTTCTTGGCGGTCAGGCAGGGGAAGGAGAGCAAACTGCTGAACGAAGTCATCAAGAAGCTGGAGCTGCGCTGGACGGAGATCGAGGGCACCCGATCCGTGGTGATGCTGATGGGCAAGGTCGGGCACATCTCCCCGGCTCTGATGGACCGGCTGGAGGACAAGGTAAGGGCTTGGGCTCTCCTTCCACCACCCTTCCCTTCAGACAGGCCACCTCCCGCTGGTGACAACAGCAGGAGGGCCCTGTCCCCTTCAACCCTGCGTGGGAACATTAACTCCGCGCCAGCTGCTGCTCCAGGGTGCTTACAGCTTGCTGTTCAAGCACCTTCCCGCGCACGGGTGCTTCTAAGAAGGGGTTCACATCTGAGGAGCCACGTCGACGCAGGGAGTTTGTGCTCACCAGTCCCTTCCCAGCTCATAGGGGTGTAGTCTGTGCTGCTGGAAGGTGGGAGCTGATGCGTCGTACTTCGCAGCTGCGGCAGGTTAGCAGAGAACAGGCTCGAATTTCCTGAGCTCAGCTGACAAGCCGTAACTTACAGCTGCCAAAAATCATCGTCCTTTGCTTCTCTGTACAAGCCAGGCTGTGAGGGGAGCTGGAACAAGGAGCGTCCGTGCTGTTCTCGCCTTCTGGCTGCCTCTGGGCACTGGTCAGCTCCAAAGGGGACGGGTCTGTCCCCTCCAGTGCTCAGTGGGTCCCTGTTTCTGTCTCTCCTGGGAGTCAGGAAGTGTCCTTTGGGTCAGAGCCCCGACTGCAGCTGCGTCAAATTCAGTCCTCGTCCAGCCCGTGCTGGGGACTGGCCAAACAGCTGCTACAGTGATATCTGTAGCTTACGAGCCCCACTGTCCCTCTCCCTTGACCCTGGGGATAAATAAATGCTCCAGACACTGGCGTGTGACGAGGCAGAACGCTGTAGCTGTGCCTGACGGGGTTATCAGTCGATGCCAAGTTTGAATGAACGATGTCGGGTAGCTCCTGCCATATGCCATGGCGCATCTCGCTCCGTAGGAAAAAAAAAAAAGAAAAAAAAAGAAAAAAAAAATCTGCATCTGCACCTCGCTTTGTGCTTTCCCTTTACCTCCCTGCTCAAAACGTTTCTTGGCAGGCTCTGGAGCTTGCTGAACAGTTCAACCCCAACGACATCCGGAAGATAACGCTGGCTCTAGCCTACCAGAACCGGCGCTGCGTCCCGCTGCTCCGAGCCTTGTCCTACCACCTGATCCAGAAGCATTCTGAGCTCAGCCTCAACGTCCTGACGGACCTGATCTTCGCCTATGGTAAGCGGCTCGGTTCTCTTGGGACCTGCTGGACATCATGAGTGGGAACAGCTCATTTTGGGCACTCGAGCGGGGTTTTGAGAGCGCTGCCACCACGGCCAGATGAAGGAGAGAGGCTGGGAGGGTTATTAGGCTGGACCTAACATACCTAGCCTAGGTAGCTAGTGAGCCAGGATCCCCCAAACAGCCCCAAATCCTCTCTCCCCTCCTCCCGTGGCTGTGGGTTTCTTGGGGAGCCCCAGCCTCCGTTTTCTCGCTCGTGAAACGCAGGAGGGCTGCGCAGCAGCCCTGGGGAGAGCTGGACTTTTTACGTGGGGACAGTGACACTTAAAATACTGGATTTCTTTCCACACGAGGTGTCCTAGTGACAAATTAACGATGATTTGAGCAGCGCCGGGTGCTGAATTCATACTCTTCAGCGGGTGAAGTGCTACAAGTACCCGTAGAAGCGCTGGCAAACGCTTGGGGAGGGGGGAATAGTGACGTTCCTGGCCACAGGGAAGACCAGAGCCACCAGATACTTGACGGTGACAGAACCTGGTGCGAAACAGCTCTATTAACAGCAGAGTAGCACTAATTAATAATTTCCTTAGTTCCATGGCTCCTCTTTTCACGCAGTGTTGCGTTATCCTCTTTTCCTCATCCTTGTTGGTAGCCAGTGGGAAGCCCAGAGGAGGAGGGGAGAAGGGAGCCGAGGAGGGGCTTTGCTTCAGTTGATTGTCCAGCTTTGGGTGGTGGGAGCAGCTCTTCTGACAACCACTGTGGCCAGGACAGTCTTTGTAGGTTAGCTCTCCTCTCGGAATAAAGAACTAACTCCAGTACACCTGGCTTTGGAGGGAGCTCTGCTTCTTTTGTTGATGTTGCCGGCGTACTTACTGTGAAGTTGAATCTGGAACGAGTTTCAAAGAGGGTGGTGGGTGCTCCGTGTCAGAACCTCCAAACCCGCGCTGCGCGCCTTCTCAGAGGCAGGGCTGTAGGTGCTCCGGCTCAGGAAGCCGGTATATATGGGCTCGGGTTGTACACGGAGCAAATAATCCAGCAGTCCCTTGGCTTTAAAAACCTATAAAGTGGTCAACTACACCGGCTGGAGGTGGTTTGGGAGCGAGACCGGCTCTCGCAGGCTCCGGCGGCCGCTGCGGTGGAGACGCGGCGCCGTTTCTCTTCGGTGCTTGGCACCGCCACGGCGTTGCGTCGGGATGCTTCGAACCTGCCGTTGCCCCTCTCTGAGGGGGACTGTCCCCTCCTGGCTGGTCCACACTCGACCCGAGCCCCTCTGGGGCTTGGTGCTGCCGGTTGCTGATCGTTGTTGCTCTCTGGTTCCTCAGCCGGGGTGAGGTTCCCGGTAGCCTTAACGAGACCGGGGTCTGTAGATGGAGCCACTGGGGCTGAAAAATCTGCTGCCAGCGCTGGGTGGAGGCTGGAGCCGTGAGCTGGCGCTGGGCTGGGAGCTGGTGGGTACAGCAGGACTTGGGCTGACCCCAAAGGATGGGGCCGAGGCGACACCAGGCTCCGAGCCCCCTCTTCTCCTAACGGACAGCTTTGTGCTCCCACTTGTGCCGCCGCCGCCCTGTCCAGGCACGGCTCCCGTACCAGCTCCTTGTAAGTGGCTGCCGCTTTCTCTTTGCTCCTTTAAGGAAAACTGAATTTCCACCAGCCCCAGGTCTTCCAGAAGATAGCCACCGACCTGCACCCCCACGTTTTCACCATGACGCCCGTCGAGGTGACGCGCTGCATCAGATCCTTCTCCCTCCTCAAGTGGCTCAGCCTGCCGCTGTTTGAGGCCATCGCACAGGTGAGGAGGAGGAGGTTTGGGGGGGGGGAGGCTGGGAGGCCCCCATTGGCACCACTATGACTGTGATCCACCCCAGTTCCCCACCCTCACCTCTCCGGAGGTGCTCTCTGTGCCCCTGTTTTCCCTACCCAGCCGGCGACCGTAATCGAGTCTGACAGGACTCGCTGTTCATCCTCTGCTAAACTCAGCTCCAGGCATCCGTGCTCAGCTCCTCCTGAGCTCCCCTCCCCAGCTCTGCCCCAGTTTATGCGCCTGCACTTCTGCATCCTTACTGGAATATTACAGAGCTTCCACTCGCAGCTTTCCCTCGTGCCAAGATAAAATCCCAGGGGAGCACTAGAAGAGCTTTTGCTCGCGTTTTCCCATCTTGCCACGGGGCTGGATGCATCCTTGGCTGACATTGTCAATCTTTTACTGTCTGTACTCATACAGGACAGGCCTAAATCTCTGTTTTTTCCCCCTATATCTTCCAGTACGCCCTGGACAACACCAAGCAGCTGTCAGTCGCCCATCTGTGCAGTATCATCCTGTCTTTTGCTCGCCTGAACTTCCAGCCCAGCAACAGCGAGGACTTTTTCAACATGGTAACCTTCCTCTTTTCCCCCCCTCTTCATCAACCTTCCTCCCTAGTCAGCAGGAAGGCTGCTGGTCTAGCACATCCCCGCGTGAAAGCGCCCGTCGGGTGGCTCGAGCCGGCTTTACACGGTGTGAGAAAAGGGAAGGGGTTGCCCCGAGTTTAGACCAGGCTTAAAAATCCTCCCGGCGCTCCCCTGGCTGCGGTAGCCGAGCCGGTTAGTCCGTGACCACCTCACATCCCCACGGGCTCGCTTTCCTCGCAGACACCAGCAGCGTGTGGGTGTTCCTGTGCCCTCCTGAACTCCCAATTGCCGTAATTAACTCTTTATAACGAGGCCGGGGGTGTCGATGGCTGCACGCCCGTTCCTGGCAGAGCTGTGTGACTCTCCTAGCCGAGCCAAACCCTCGGTTTGGTAGTGCTGAGGCTGCTCCTGGGGCTCGGGGCTGTTGAGATGGTTAGAGGCTGTCCCAGGCACACGTGCTCGCGTGGCTTCCTGCCTGGGGGGGGGGGGGGGGTAGGTTGCCACATCTCAGGGCGAGGAGCAGAGGGGGAGCCTCCGGCGTGGTTTAGCAGGAGGCTGGGGGGAGGTTGAGCGAGGGGCAGGCACCGTCCTTGGCGTCCCTCCCGCCTTCCCCAGCTCGCCGAGGCGGCCCGGCTGGCCCTCTGAAGCAGAGGAGGATGTCACCTTGACCTCCCTGGGGGGGGGGGACACAGATTTGTGCTGCCGATTGCCAGAGTTGCTGAGCAAGCAGCCACCGGCCGAGCGCCCGGCAGAGGGAGCGTGGCCGGCCCAGCCCCACCTGCGATGCGCAGCCGAGGAGGGAGAGCACCCAGATATGGGCGCTTCTGATCAGCGGGACCCCCCAGGGCACCCTGTCCCCCCTTGGCCAACCCAATCCAGGGAGCAAAGGATCTCCCTGGGTGGGGAAGTAGCATCCAGGGCTCTGGATTCCCCCTGCCAGCATTAATCGTGGTCACCATGACAGGGGATTTTGTAGCAAGTGCAGAACTACCCGTTTTTGGAGGCGTTGCTAAAAAGCTCTCCGGGTTTAACGGGAGAAATCCCTGCAAGGGTGCAGAGCTCCAGGCTCTTGCTGCGATTCCTGGGCACCCCCCCCCCCCCCCCCAGAGCCTCAGACCCCTCCGGTTCCCTTCCCGGCAGGATTTAGTTGCAGATCCTGAAGGAGGTTATCGCCTCCAGCCCTCCCTTTTTTCAGAAAAGGGGAAGGCTGCGGCCCCGTGGCTGCTGCATGTTGCTGCCGGGCTTTCTGCACCCTGGGCCAGCAAAACGCAGCTGCAGGGTCGGGGGGTGAGAGCAATCTTCAAATCTCCCCGCTGCAGATAGCCCCAGGGGAGAAGCACTGCTGCAGAGGTGGCGCACCGTAACGCCTCGGGGATCTGTTGAGCTGCCAGACCCCCCCCCCACCCCCCCACCCCCCCTGTGTGTGTGTGTTGAGCTCGGGATGGAGGCGTCGGCAGCGCCGACCTGAGCTGAACCCGTTTGGTTTTCCTCTCCTCAGGTCCACGAGGAGCTGCAGGGCCAGCTGGCCAGCCTGGAGCCTCACCTCCTCACCGACCTGGTGTGGTCGCTCTGCGTGCTGCAGCAGGCCAAGGCTCCCTACCTGCACCGAGTGCTGGCGCCCGACTTCCACGCTTGGATCCGAGGTGAGGCGGGCGTCTGTGCCGCCGGGGACTGAGAACCTCAGACCCGGGGAAAGTGGGGGGGGACAGCAGCTTGGGGACACTGAGCCTGGTCCCTCTAAATTGCAGTTAACGGGTTGTTAACCAGGAGGGAATCGATCTCGCTGGGAGCGGCTGTAACAGATTTCCCACCCCCAGCCTCCCCTGCAGCTCTGTGCAGGGTGCCCCCCGGGCAAGGGGAGCTCAGGGCAACAGCACTAAGAGACTTGGGCTAGTGATTGCCACGGGCTCCGGTAGCCCCCCCTTCAGGCTGTGGATTTGGGCCTGTGCGCAGTGCGGGGAGAAGGAGAACAAGACAGTGATGGCGAAGGGGGGATCCGCTCGAGCCTTCCCTGTGCTCTCCTCCCCGGGTCCTGCCCAGCCCGGAGCTGAACGTGGAGCTGTGCCCGTAGGGTTGAACCCCAGCGGGGTGACACGTTGCCCTCCCCCCTCCCAAACCGCAGCCCGCTCGCTGCTCCGCCCCGGCGTTTCCCTCAAGAAGAAACGAGAAGGTTTATTGTTTCCTGACCCAAAACAGCGAGGTGCAGCCCCGTCAAAGTCCGTCCCTCCCTCCTCCGTGGCGGGGGGCTGCAGTCCAGGAGCCCCCTTGTCCCCTCCGGTGGGACCTTGGGGATAAAGTCACACCACAGACACCGAGGGGGCTGTCCTCTCCTAACGAGGGCCCTGTGCTCGGGGTGGTTTCCCACCGCCGCCGGCGCGAGGCCGCTGGGGGGGCCAGCAGGCAGGGATCCATCCCAGGGCGGGGATCCGGAATGAGGAATCCCAGTCGGAGAAGGGACGGAGGCCACGGGATGAAGAGCCCAGCCCCGCCGTGCGCGGGGGCTTCGGGCTGCACCTCGAGCTCTGCTCCTCTCCTCCCGCCAGGCGACCGGTCCCTCAAAGCTCAGAATTTACGCCTGAAGCTCGTCCACATCAACGCTGCCGCCAAGCTGGAAAGCCCCGGCTACCGGGGCCCGTTCCTGCCGGCGGAGATGCTGAGCCCCGCGGAGCCGGCGGGGGAGAAGGTGGTGACCCAGCTGCAGAGCAGCCTGCGGGAAGCGTTGGCGGGGGTGCTGGGGAGCCGGGACAACGGGCGCCTCGACGTACGCACCGTCTACGGCTGGCAGATCGGTGAGCGCGTCCCCCGTGGGAGGGAATTCAACTTGGAGGGGGGGCGCACACACACACACACACAGACACACACACACACACACGGACTTGGGGGGCAGCTACCGGGCTTCACCACCCACCCACCCCTTCATTCTTCAGCCTCACGCCCCTCTGCTTCCTCAGCGCAGCCGCTGTTCCCATCTCCTCCCACAACTTCCTTCTCGAGGCAGAGCAGGAACGCCAGCCCCCCCCCCCCCCCCCCCCCCCGGCTTGGCTTGTGGGCAGCAGGTGGAGGAGGAAAACCTTTCTCCCTCCCGCAGCCAAGCGGAGCTGAGGGGGGGGGGTGTGGAAAGCTCTGCCCTCCCCTCCCCTCCTGCCCCCCCCCGGCTCCCCCCCGCTCTCCTGCAGCCCCGTCAAATTCGGTCTCTGCCTCCTCCGTGGCGGGGACCGGCCAACCGGCTGCCACAGCAAGTTCGGTGGTCCACGAGCCCCACGTCCCCCTTCCTGTGGGATGCTGGGGGGGTGAGAATGTCACGGACACGTTTTCTGCCTGAGGAGATTTTTGGGAAGCGGGCCCTGCCCTTCGGCGCCGCGAGGAGAGGGTGCTGTACCCCGGCTGCGCGCGCAGAGCCGCTCCCCGGCTTTTTTTTTTGGGGGGGGGGGGGAGCAATGGGAGCAGCGTCCGGGTGGGTCTCGGGAGTCTTTGCGTTCCTTCCTCTCCGTGCAGACGCCGAGATGGTGGTGAACAGCGAAAATAAACCTCTCCCCTTGAAGGACTTTGCTGCTCCCCATCTGCTCCGCTCCGAAGGGACGAAGCCGCTGCCGCCGGGCGCCAGGAGGTGGGTTTGGGCTCGGCTGTGCCCCACGGCGCGGGCAGGAGCTCGTGGGGAGAGGGAGAGGGGACAGATCTTGGGTGCTTCAAACCTCCCCGGTGATTTGTGTACCGAGGAAGCCGTGTCCCCCCCCTCTCTTGGGAGCAGGACAGAAACGGGGGTAGGGCTGCGGGGGGGGGGTGTGTGTCATGTTTTGCAGCTGGGGGTGCTCACCCCAGGAGCCGGACGCCGGTCGTGGCAATGATTTTTCTCTCCAAAAAGAGCTTCTGCCACGGAGCCCGCCTGGCTGCGCGGGGCCCTGGGGACTGAGCTGCCTCCTCCCTGCCTGGAAAAAAAAAAAAAATAAATAAACAAACGGCGTCGAGCCGCTCTGCCGGTGGCTCGGAGGAGGGATAACGGCTCCAACGGCCGGAGAAATCCGCGTCCCGCTGGCCGGGGGGGCAGAGCTGGAGCTGCCGGCTCCCACGAGCCTCACGGCTGGGCCCCCCCCCCTACTCTGTCCCCCCCCCCCCCCTTCCAGGGTCGCTTTCCTCCGGTGGGAATTCCCCAATTTCAGCAACAGGAGCAAGGACCTGCTGGGTCGCTACGTCATGGCCCGGCGCCACATCCAGGCGGCCGGCTTCCTCGTGGTGGACGTGAGTAGCTGCGGGGAGAGGAAGGGTTGGTGTGTGTGTCTCTCATTCCACAAAGCAGACGCCTTTTTTTTTGGGGGGGGTTACCACCCTCCTCCTCGCTCCCCTCGCCTTCCCCCCCCCCCAGCTGGCTTCGGGGTGGGACAGAGCCTCAGCTCCGCGCCGCCCCCGTGGATTAGCCGCCGCGATCCCCTCCAGGCAAGCCCGGAGGTGACAAAGGATGAGGTTTTAGGGCGCTGATCCCCCTGCTCACCTCGTTCTTTAGCTCCCCGGAGGTAATTCCCCCGGCTTGCGAGGGAGGAGGAAGGTCGGTGGCTCCTTTCGGGGGGGGGGGGTGGCAGGGCCACGTGTCCCACGGTGGCCTCGTCACCCCCAGCCCGTCCCCGCGCTTCCCCAGATTCTCCCCCCTCCCGGCCGGGTTGGAGGGTTTTCCCTGCGGAATTTCTCCCCTCCCCGGCGGGGAGGCTCGGGGACAGGAGGAGGAGGAGGAAGAGGAGGAGCAGCTTCAGCCTTGCCCGCTGCTAAATATATCAGCAGGGGTGGGTGGCGGGATCCCCCCCCAGACGGGGCTGCTCCCTCCCACCGGGAAGAAGCGGCGTCCCGGCTCCGCTGTTTTGAGGGGAGGGCTGTGCTCTCAAACCCTTGCCCGAGCTGCGTGCCCCGCTCCTGTCACCAAATCCGCCCCCCCCCCCAATAAATATTTTTGTTGTTCCCCCCCCCCCAAATATTTTGCCCGCCCCGCGGGAGGCCGTGCGCGTCCCGGCTGCTGACAGAAGCCCGTTGTTCGGCGGTGGTGACGCGGGCTAATTTGGGGACAGGCTTTTAATTGTCTGCGCTCGGGTCCCCCGCCTTCATCCATTCCCCCCCCCCCCCCAAAAAAAAAAAAAAAAACCAACAACTCATCCCAATTTGAGGGGGGGGGGGGTTCCCCCCTTTCTGTCACCGTGGGGATCAACCCCGCCCTGCCTGCGCCACGGGGAGCAAAAGGGGTTGGGCACCCCACGGGTTTTTGGGGGGGACACACACACGCCGCTGTGCATCTCTGGGTTCTAAAGGGGGGGGGGTGTGTGTGTTTCTCCTTTCTCTCCCCCCCCCCCCCTCACAGGTCCCCCACTACGAGTTCCTGGAGCTGAAGCTGGAGCGGCAGCGGGCGGCCTACCTCAAAGACAAGCTCAACAAGGTCACGGCCAAAGCGCTGGCGAGCTAACCGCGCCGGCGCCGCCCCGCCGAGCCCTGTTCCAATAAACCCGCTGCTGTACAGTGCTGCGTTTTGGGGGGGGGGGGGGGCCCCTTTGGCTTTTTTCTGGACTGGGGGGGGGGTGGGAGGGAAATAAAGAGTCACCACCCCGATGCTCGGCGGGACCCCCTTCACCGCAGCGGCGGCTCAGCTCCCGCTTTGAGCCGGGGATTAGGATTAAGAATGATCCCGGCCTTTCTTATTCCTGTTTTAGTGCTGGGGGGGGGGGGGGGCGGGGGGGCTGTGACACTTCTCCCCCCCCCCCCACCTCCAGCGCAGGGGAGGGGGGGGCTCTAATGGGCAGGGTTAAATCCTGCCCCACATCATCTGTGTGTGTGTGTGTGTCCCCACCCAGGTGGGGGAGAAAACCCCTTTGTGCTGCTGGGAGGGACTTTGGGGGGGGGGGGTGTGTGTCCCCCCACCATGTCCCCTCCAGCTGTGTCACTGTGTGTCCCCCCCTGCACCCTCGGGCGGGGGTGGGTGTCACAGCCCTTCTCCCACCACTCTGTGTGTCGCCCCCCCCCCCCCCCAGGGAGCTGCTGAGTCACAGCTCCAGCCCCCCCCCCCCCCCCTTGCTCTCAGGCTGTGCCTCAGTTTCCCCCCCCCCAGCATCCTTCAGCGGGGGGGGGGGGGGAGCCCGTCCCTCCTAAGGGTCTATCAGTCCCAGAGTGGGGGTACCCCCCGCCCCCCCAGTTGCCAGGGAACCATCATCCTCCTCCTCACCATCACCACGGAGACGAGAGGAGGAGAAGGGCCGTTCCCATGGCAACCACGCGGGCACCCCTCCCTCCGCCCCAGTGGTACCCGGGGACACCAGACACCCCCCCACCCCAGCATCACCCCGGGGCTTTTTTTAGGGGGGGGGCGGGGAAGGTGGGCTCCACCCTCCTCCTCCGCCCCCCCCCCCCCCGCCCCGGGGGGGCACTGCTGCTCAGCCCCATATTTTTGGGGGGGACACACACACACGCCACAAAACCCCGGCGCCATCTCCCGTCGCATCAATCCCACCCCAGGTGGGGAAACTGAGGCACGCACACACCCCCCCCCACACACACCCCCCCCCTTTTTCATCCACAGCCCCCCCCTCTCATCCACACCCCCCCCCCCCCAGGAGCTGATGCAAGCAGCGCTGGGGTGGGCCCGGCCCTCCCCTCCCCTCCCAACCGCCGCAGTGCCTGGCACACACCCCGCCGGAGCGGGGGGGGGGCGGGGGGGGCGAAAAGAAAGAAAAGGCAGGGGAAATAAAAAAAAAAAATAAAAAAAAAATCCTGCTGACATCATCTGGGATGACGGAGCTGATCCCGGCCCCCCCCGCCCCAGTAACGCTCCGCTGGGCCCTGCGGCAGCCCGGGGGGGGCGGCGGGGGGGGGGGGGGGGGGGGGCCGGGGAGGCGGAGCGGGGCGGAGGGGCTGGGGGCAGCGGAGAAGGGAAGCGGAATGGCGGAGGGATCGGAGGCAGGTGAGGCCGGGGGGGGGGGGGCGCGGGGGTCCGGGAGGGAGAATTCGGGGTTTGGGGGGGGGGAAGAGAGGGAGGGATGGAGGGTGCGGGGATCCGGGATGGAGGATTCAGGGGTGCGGGCTGGGGGGGGGGGGACCCCGGGATCTGGGATGGGGGATGAAGGATTCAGGGGTGCGGGCTGGGGGGGGGGGGGGGGGGCCGGGATCTGGGATGGGGGGGATTCAGGGATGAGGGAGGCAGAGCACAGGGATCCGGGATCCAGGAGTCCGGGATGGAGGATTCAGGGGTGCAGGGAGCCGGGATTTGGGGGTGAGGGATGGAGGGCGCAGGGATCCAGGGCTCGGGGATGCGGGATGGGGGGGGGCTCAGGGATCTGGGGGGGGGGGGGAGAGGATTCAGGGGTGCAGGGAGCCAGGATTCGGGGGTGAGGGACACGGAGCGCAGGGATCCGGGATGGGAGGCTCGGGGATTTGGGATCCAGGAGTGAGGGATGCGGGATGGGGGGACCCGGGGTGGAGGGTTCAGGGGTGCAGGGAGCCAGGATTTGGGGGTGAGGGATGGAGGGAGGGCGCAGGAGTCAGGGATGCGGGATGGGGGGGGGGGCTCAGGGGTTCGGGATGGAGGATTTGGGGATCCAGGATTCGGGGGTGAGGGATGGAGGATTCAGGGGGGCAGGGAGCCAGGATTTAGGGATGGAGGGAGCAGGGGATCCAGGATCCGGGGTGGAGGGTTCAGGGGTGCAGGGAGCCAGGATTTAGGGGTGAGGGATGGAGGATTCAGGGGTGTGGGACTCAGGGATCCGGGATCCGGGGTGGTGGATTCGGGGATGTGGGATGGAGGATTCAGGGGGGCAGGGAGCCAGGATTTAGGGATGGAGGGCGCAGGGATCCGGGATTGGGGGATCCAGGATCCGGGGTGGAGGATTCAGGGGTGCAGGGAGCCAGGATTTAGGGGTGAGGGATGGAGGGAGGGCGCAGGGATCCGGGATGGGGGCCCAGGCCCAGCCGCCCCTCGCAGCGGCTGGCACCGCCGCGGGGCCCCAAAAACCGCTCCCCCCCCCCTTCCCCGGGGCGAGGCGGGAGGTGACTTTGGGGGGACCCCTCCTCCAGTCCCGAGGAGCCCCCCCCCCCCCCCCCCGGGAGCAGCTGGTGGGGAAACTGAGGCACGGGCAGCCCAAGGTCACCCCGTGCAGGGGCGTCCCCGAGGGCTCGCTGTCACCCTACGGGAGGGGGGGGGACACAGGCGGGAAGCAGGGGGGAGCCCTGGTACAACTTCCCCCCTCCCGTGCCTCAGTTTCCCCCCGGGAGTGATGGGGAGGTCCCAGCCAGACTGCGGGGGGGGGAGAAGGGCAGAGTTAAGGGGATCCTAGAGCCAGCCCCCCCCCAAATGGCACTTAAGGGGGGGGGGGGGGGCACAATCCAAGAACCCCCCTAGGCAACCACTCCCCCCCCCAATTAACCCTTTAAGTGCCCCCCCCCCCCCGGTTACTAGAGGGGACCCCGAGGAGTAAACCACGCCGGGGGGGGGGGGGGGGGGGGATATTTACATACATCTCTTCTTTCCCCCCCCCCCCCCCCCCCCCACCTGCCCGCTAAATACCCAGGTGAGGCCCCACCCCCCTTCCCAGCAGCCTCTGCGGCCTTGCCCCGCCCCCCCTCCTCACCCCTATATAAGGCTCCCCGGGGGGGGGCTGGGGGGCTCTGGTGGGTTTGGGGCTGGAGCTGGGTCCTGGCTGCTCCTGCCCCATGGATCTGCTCCTGGGGGCTGCAGGTAATAGGGGCAGCAAAGGGGGGTGGGGCACATACCCCCCCCCCCCAGGAGGTTTTGGGCTGTTCATGAGGTGGGGAGGGGGCTACACCCCCCCCCCAAAACCTGGGTAATGGGCGGGGGGGGGATGAGAACCTGCAAACTCAGCGCATGGGTGGGTACAGGGGGGCTGCTGGGGATGGGGAGGGCCCCCCCCCCCCCCCCCCCATAGAGGGGTCTCCCTTGCTTGGGGACATTTGGGTTTGACACCCCCCCCCCCCCCCTTAATATAGCTTCATGCCCACAGGGAGGAGCTGGAGGGGGGGATGGATTTTGGGGTGAACCCCCCCCCCCCCCCCCCCCCATCACCTCTGGTGTCACTGAACGCTGTGGGGACCCCCTCCCTGGGTGGGGGTCACCCCATTCTTCCCCCCCATCACAAGGTGACCCTGGGGGGGTGCCCCATTCTTCTTCTCCCCCCCCCCCCCTCCCCGCCACCCCCATCACAAGGTGACCCTGGGGGGACAATGACACCCCCAGCACTGACTAATTTTTTTTGGGGGGGGGTCTCCCCTCTCTCCGCAGCCCCCCCGCCGGCCACGGCCCCCCCGCCGCTGCCCGCCAAGGAGGAGGCTCGTCCGCAGCCCGAGGGGGCCAGCTGCGACCCCGGCCCCCCCGCTCCCCCCCCCCCCGCTCCCCCCCCTCCCCCCCACCACCGACCCCCTGGACACCCGCATCGTCATGGGGGAGGAGACGCGCTCCCCCGCCCCCCCCCGAGCTCCGGGGGGGGCCCCCCCCGCCCGCTGTGCCTTGCCCCTTCCCCGCTCCCACCAAAGACCCCCCGCAGTGCCAAGCAGCCGAGCCCCCCCCGGGCAGACCCCCCGCCACCAACCTGGACCCCGACCTCTTCTTCACGGCCCCCTCCACCCCCATCCGGGTTGGGGGGGCCCGGCTGCCGCCGCCTCCCCCCCCGCCCCCCGAGGAGCAGACGGACGGGGAGAGCGAGGGGCTCTGCTCCCCCCCCACGTCCCCCTCCGGTTCCTACATGACGGCCGAGGGGGGCAGCTGGGGCTCCTCCGGCACCGCCAGCACCTCCCCGTCCTGCTCCCCCAACCTGGTGGCCGAGGCCGAAGGCTCCGGGGAGGCCGAAGGCTCCGGGGGGGTCGAAGCGGCGGCGGGGGGGGCGCTCCCCACCTGCCTGGAGGATCCCGCCGCCTTCACCCCACCATCTCCCGAGGAGGATGAGGAGGAGGAGGATGGTCGCTTTGCCCCGCCGGGTGATGAAGAGGAGGAGGAGGATGGGCAGACGCCGGAGGAAGAGGAGGATGAGGAGTGGGAGGTGTCGGGGGGCGCGGGCCTGATCCCGGCGGCGCTGCTCCCCTTCCGCGGCAGCCTGCTCTTCCAGGCCGAGGCGGTGGAGATCACCCCGCTGCCCCCCGGCACGGCCCCCCTGCCCCTCTGCGGCGAGGAGGAAGAGGAGGAGGACGACGAGGAAGAGGAGGAGGAGGAGGAGGAGGGCGGCAGCACCTCGGCCTCCTTCCTCCGCTCGCTGTCGGAGACCTCCATCCCCGAGGGGGTGGACGAGTCCTTCGCCTTCCGCGACGACACCTCCGCCTCCTCCGACTCGGCCGCCTACGACGGCGAGGAAGACGAGCGGCTCTACGGCACCGAGCGCCACGCCGTGGGGGGCGAGGGGGGGCCCCAACCCCCCCACCCGGAGCCGGGGGGCGTCGAGCTCCACCTGCGCGCCGGGATGACCCCCCAAGGGTCCCCCCGGCATCGCCGCGGCGGGGAGCACCCCGGCGCCGAGCGGGATGGCAGCGTGACCCCCCCGGCGGCTTCCGAGACCTTCCTCACCTCCTCCTCCTCCTCCTCCTCTTTGGAGCTGGAGGTTGACGTCCCGTGGGAGCCGGACCCTGTGCCGGAGGGGTGTCCCCCACCGCGGCCCCCCTGGATCCCGGAGGATTTGGGAGAGGGGAGCGGCAGCGTCTGCGCCGGGGAGCCCGGGGACCCCCGACCCGACGGGCTGGGGGCCAGCGACGTGGCACCGGCCAACGGGGAGCCCCGGGGTGGCCTTGGGAGCGATGGCGACGCCGATGGTGACGGTGACCACGAGCTCGGCACGGTGAGGGCGGGGAGCAGCGAGCCAGCAGCCGCCGACGGCCACGACGAGGTGGACACGGCGGCCACCGACCTGGTGCCGTTGGTGACACCCAGCCCACCGGACACTGCAGCCACCGACCCGGGACCATCGGTGACACCCAGCCCGCCAAATGAGCTGGAGAACGTGGCCACCAACCTGGGACCATCGGTGACACCCAGCCCGCCAAATGATCTGGAGAACGTGGCCACCAACTTGGGACCATCGGTGACACCCAGCCCGCCAAATGATCTGGAGAACGTGGCCACCAACCTGGGACCATCGGTGACACCCAGCCCGCCAAATGATCTGGAGAACGTGGCCACCAACCTGGGACCATCGGTGACACCCAGCCCGCCACATGAGCTGGAGAACGTGGCCACTGATCTGGCGCCACCGGTGACACCCAGTTTGCTGGATGAGCCAGACACCGCGGCCACTGACCTGGCATCGTTGGTGACGCCCAGCTTGCCTGATGAGCTGGACACCGTGGCCATCGATGTGGTGCCGTCGGTGACACCCAGCTTGCCCGACACCGGGGCCACCAGCCTGGCATCGTCAGTGACACCCGGCTTGCCCGATGAGCCAGACACCGTGGCCACCGACCTGGCACCATCGGTGACACCCAGCCCACCAGACACCGTGGCCACCAACCTGGTACCATCAGTGACACCCAGCCTGCTGGACACCGTGGCCACCAACCTGGCATCGTTGGTGACACCCAGCTTGCCTGACGAGCCGGACACCGTGGCTACCAACCTGGTGCCACCGGAGACGCCCGACTTGCCGGATGCCGTGGCCACTGACCTAGCACCATCGGTGACACCCAGCCCACCAGAGACCATGGCCACTGACCTGGCGCCGCTGGTGACACCCAACTTGTTGGACACCATGACCGTTGACCTGGCACCATCGGTGACACCCAGTTTGCCTGACACCGTGGCCACCAACCTGGCACCGTTGGTGACTTCCAACTTGCCTGGCACCGTGGCCACCGACCTGCCATCACTGGAAACACCCAGCTTGCCCAATGAGCCGGACACCGTGGCTACCAACCTGGCATCACTGGTGACATCCAACTCGCCGGACACTGTGGCCACCAACCTGGCATCACTGGAAACACCCAACTTGCCCGATGAGCCGGACACCGTGGCCACCAGCCTGGCGTCATCGTTGACACCCAACTTGCTGGACACTGTGACCACCAACTTTGCGTCATCGTTGACACCCAACTTGCCGGACACCGTGGCCACCGACCTGGCATCACTGGAGACACCCAGCTTGCCCGATGAGCCGGACACCGTGGCCACCAGCCTGGCATCGTCGTTGACACCCAACTTGCCGGACACCGTGGCCACTGACCTGGCATCGTCGTTGACACCCAACTTGCCGGACACTGTGGCCACTGACCTGGCATCATCGTTGACACCCAACTTGCCGGACACCGTGGCCACTGACCTGGCATCACCGTTGACACCCAGCTTGCCCGATGAGCTGGACACCGTGGCCACCAGCCTGGCATCGTCGTTGACACCCAACTTGCCGGACACCGTGGCCACCAGCCTGGCATCGTCGTTGACACCCAACTTGCCTGGCACCGTGGCCACTGACCTGGCATCATCGTTGACACCCAACTTGCCGGACACCGTGGCCACTGACCTGGCATCACCGTTGACACCCAACTTGCCCGATGAGCTGGACACCGTGGCCACTGACCTGGCATCACCGTTGACACCCAACTTGCCCGATGAGCCGGACACCGTGGCCACCGACCTGGCATCACCGTTGACACCCAACTTACCCGACAGCATCACGTCCCCCCACGACGCCGACGAGGAGCCGCCGGCTGGGGCGGCCGCAGCCAGCGCCCCCCCGCAGCCACCAGCGTGTCCCCCGGGGCGGGGGCCGCCGGCGCAGCCCCCCGGGGCCGTGGGCGAACCCCCCGAGGAGTGGGAGGCCACCGCCTCCTCCGAGGAGTCGTCCCCGGAGCTGCTGGAGACCTCCCGCTCCCGCACCGACTCCAGCTTCTTCACCGCCCCCGAGGACAGCGCCGGGGAGGCGGCCGCCCCCCCGCCCCAGACCCCCATCTTCCAACGAGGAAGAGGAGGAGGAGGAGGAAGAGGACGCAGCCCGCCGCTGCCTGGCCCTCTGCCTGCCCGCCTCGCCCCCCCCCGGCCCCCCCTCGGTTTTCACCGCCTCGGAGCAGGAGGTGTATGTGGGGGTCCCCCCGGCCCCCCTCGAACTTCTCCAACCACCCGGTGCCTTTTCGGAGCGGGGGGCGGCCTGGCAGCGCGGGGACGACCGCCAGCAGGTCGCCGCCATGTTGTGGGGTTCTTTTGGGGACCTGCCCCCCCCCCGGCACCCCCCCAAGCCCCCCGAGGTGCCGGCAGAACCTTCGGAGGGTCCCACCGGTGCTGGGGGGAGTGAAGAACCCCCGGCCCCCCACGAGCCCCCCACCCCTCAGCTGGGCGATGCCCCCCCGGGCCAGACTGCTGGGGAAACCGATGCCAAAGTCCTGGGGGAGCGCGGCCCCCCCGGCCCCCCCAGCGAGCCCCCGAGGCAGCAGGAGGAAGAGGAGGAGGAGGAGGAGGAGGCAGCGGGGGCCGGATCCAGCCCCCAGCCCGCTCCCGGCGCTGGTGAAGGGGGGGATGCTCAGCCCGAGCCCTCCCCGGAGCCGGTTGGGGAAGCAGCACCCCGGCCCCCCCCCTGACCCCCCCCGGCCGCCCCCCAAAGTCAGCCAAGTGCCTCCTCTCGCCGCCGCGCCGGCGGTGCCACCGGCCCGCGACCCCCCGGAATCCTCAGGGCTCCCCGCCGGCGAGGAGCAGCCGCCTGTCCTGCCCCCCTCCAGGAAGCACCTCGAGGGTAAGAGAGAAAACCGACCCCCCCCCCCCCCCCCCCCCCCCCCCCCCCCCCCCCCCCAAAAAAAAAAAAAAGAAAAGAAAAGAAATCCCCACCCACTGGTGGGGTGCTGGGTGGGCGATGGGGGTGAGCAGGCCGGGTTTAGCTGCCTGAATGGGGGGGGCACCACCATGGGGTATCATGTGGGGGGTGATTTGGGGGGGGGGGGGTGGGTGAGCCGGCCGGGTTTAACCTCACGGAGGGGGGATTTTGGGGGGCACCACCAGCTCATTCCCCACGCCCCCCCCCTGCTCCTCCTTTAGCCCCCCAGCCCTCCCCACGCAAGGAGCCGGAGGCGCGGGGCAGGCAGGCGGCCGGGGGGGGGGTCAGCCGGGGCCCCCCCCGGGGGTCCCTACAGTCGGAGTCGAGCTCGTCCAGCGAGGCGGAGGCTCCGTACCCCTGCCCCGAAATCCAGCGCCTGCGGGAAGCCGCCGGCATCGCCCTGCGCCAGGACAAGCAGCCCCCGGCCCCCCGCCGCTGCGAGGCCAACCATAAAGGTGAGGGGGGGGTCGTGTCATCATCCCCCCCCCCCCCAAATTTAAATTTTGGGGGGTTGGAGGGCTGATTGTTTTTATTCCACCCCTCTCTTGACCCGCAGGGTCGTGTAATGAGTCGGAGAGTAACGACGAGTCCATCCCCGAGCTGGAGGAGCCAGAGGGTTCGGAGCCGCCACCAACCCAGACCCAGGTGGGGTTTTTTTTTCTTTTGGGGGGGAGGGAATGGGGGTAGTGGGGGACACACACACCCCCCCCCACGGGAAGCGGGGTCAGGGCTGCCCTCACCCACCGATCTCCGGCAGGCGCAGCTCACCCACTCGCTGGGCACCGGGGAGGAGACGGTCAGCAAGGCGAAGCAGAGCCGGAGCGAGAAGAAGGCCAGGAAGGTGGGGGATTGGGGGGGGGGGGTCCCCCGGGGGGGTTTTGGGGGTCCCTGTGGGGGTTTGGGGGGTCCCCGTGGGGGTTTGGCCCTGCGTAGGGCTGAGGTTCCCAGCCCGGCATTACGGTGGGTGAGATGGGGTTTAGCCACGGGGTGTTGGGGGGGGACCCCCTCCCCGCTTTTATGGGGGGGGGGGGGGGGGTCTCCAGGTGCTGCTGGGGTATCCCAGCACGGGGGGGGCGGTGTGTGTGTGCTGTGGGGTCCCCCCATCTTTAGGAGAGGGGGGGGCTCAGCCTGCTTGTTGTCCCACATCCCTGTGGTTTCGCCGTTGTCCCAGGGGTTTGGGGGTGTTGCGATGCCGGGCGGGGGGGGGGACGGACGTGGAGTCACCCCTGTGTCTGTCTGTCTGTGTGGTGTGTGTCTGTCCCGTGTCGTGTGTGTGTCCCCGTCCCCCCCCCAAAGGCCATGTCCAAGCTGGGGCTGCGCCAGATCCACGGCGTCACCCGCATCACCATCCGCAAGTCCAAGAACATCCTCTTCGTCATCACCAAACCCGACGTCTTCAAGAGCCCCGCGTCCGACATCTACATCGTCTTCGGGGAAGCCAAGGTGACGTTGGGGGGGGGGGGGGGGGGTCCGTTCTTTGGGGTTGGGGACAAGGTTTGGGGGGGGTGGGTGTGTGACACCGTGTCCCCCGCAGATCGAGGACCTGTCGCAGCAAGTGCACAAAGCGGCGGCGGAGAAGTTCAAGGTGCCGATGGAGCACTCGCCCCTCATCACGGAGACGGCCCCCCCCCTCACCATCAAGGAGGAGAGCGAGGAAGAGGAGGAGGTGGGTGCCGGGGAGGGGGGGGGGGCTGAGGGTCCCCGGGGGTAATTGGGGGTGGGTGATGATGTGGGGGGGTGTCTCTGTGTGTGTGTCCCCCCCCCTCAGGTGGATGAGACGGGGCTGGAGGTGCGGGACATCGAGCTGGTGATGGCCCAAGCCAACGTCTCGCGCCCCAAAGCCGTGCGGGCGCTTCGGCACAACAACAACGACATCGTCAACGCCATCATGGTGAGTGACACCCCCCCACCCCCCCTCCCACCATGAACTGGGGGTGCAACCCCCCCCCCCCCCAACCCTGGGTTTTTGGGGTGGGGGGGAGGCCCTGACCCTCTCCTCTCTCCCCCGCAGGAGCTGACCATGTAGCGGCCGGGGGTGTCCCGGCCCCCCCCCCCCCCCCCCCGTATAGATGCACAGTTCCTCCCCCCCCCCCCCGCCTTACCCTTCCTCTAGACCCCCCCACCATCCTCTTCCTCCCCCCCCCCCTCCGTAACGCTCAATAAACAGCCTCATGTATCACTTGGATCGCACGCCGCCTCCGCTCCCTGTGATTTTTTTGGGGGGGGGCTCCCCCAGATCTGAGGGCGCCTGTTTCTGGGGTGGTGGGTGGAGGAGGCTCAGGGCCCCCCCTCCCTCATTTCCAGCAGTGGGACTGGGGGGGGGAGGGAATCCTGGGGTGCTCCCAGGGGGGCTTTGTGTGTGGGTGGGTGGGTGTGTGTCCCCCCCCCCCATTGTGAATTTATCCAGGAGGTGAGCGAGGGGCTTTAACAACCAGACAAACCACAGGTGGGTGCAGAATTATATTTCTCTGTAGCAAATATTCTGTACAGAAACCATCCATGCGCCCCCCCCGCCCCAAACCCCCCCGGGGTGCTGCCACCTCCTTGCTCCCGGAATGCTACGACAGAGGGTTAGGTCCAGAATTAAGTCCCATTTCCTGTTAAAAATATTAAAAAACCCCCAAACCAACCCCCCCAAAAAAAAACCCCACTGCGAGCTGTTCCGGCTTCTGCGCTACAGCTCTCTGTACACAATCGTGTCAAAAATAGGGGTTTTTTTCTTTTTTTTTTTTTTTTTTTTTTGTCCAAATCTCAAGTCTTTCACGACTTCACTGTCCACACGTGCAATTTGGTTTTAATCTCTAAATCATAAAAAGGCACTAAAAAAACCAGCCCCCCCCCCCGCCCCAGCGCTGGGCTTGATGAGGGGGGAAAAAATCTTGGTCCCCAAATCCCTGAGGATGCTGAGCTGGGACACCCCCCCCCCCCCAATCTCCCCTTGGTGGAAACGTGTGGGGGGAGGAGGAAAACTCAAGCTGCTCCATCAAGGCTTGTTCCTTCCTCTGGGGGGGGCCCAATTTGGGGACACACCCCCCCCCCACTGGTTTATCAGCCTCGAAGCTGGAAGGAAAGTGTGGGGGGAGGATGGACAGAGGGAGCAGCACTTGGCCACGTTCACCCCTTAAACTGCAGAGGAAAGGGGTGATGGGGACCCCCCCCCCGCCCCGGGAGCAAAAAGGGGGGGGGGTGTGTCACCCTGCTTTCCCCCCCCCTGCCCAAAAAGCCTAAAGCAGCGTGGGACGGGGGCTCTGCGCAGGATCGTACCGAGGGCTGGGGGGGGGAAGAGGATGGAGGGATGAAGGCTGCGGGATGGACTGGACAGACAGGAGGACGGCAGCAAGAGGAGACACAACCCCCCCCCCCCCGGTAAGGGTTAAAAATGGGGGGGGGTTAAAGGCACTGGGGGGGGGGGCAGGGGAGGCTTTGGGGACAAAGAGCAGAGGAATGTGCGGGAGGTGCCGGATCCCCCCGAAACTGCTGAGCCAGTGTCTGGCCCCAAAGCACCCACCCCCCCCCCCCCCGCCCCCCCCCCGGCTCGGGGTGGCTCCAGCACCGGCACATTTGGCCCTGCCAGGGCCACCCATGGGTGCCAGAGCCCCCCCCCCGGGTGCTGCTGGTCTGTCCTGTCCCTCCCGCCAGCTCCATCCTCCCCCCTGGTTCTGGGATAACTGGGGACACCCCCCTCACACTTTGCAGTGACCCTTCTCAGGTGTCGTCCCCCCCCCCTCCCCAAAAAGTGGCACCTCACCCCCGGGGGGCGCCCCTTGGGCAGGGGAGACGGATTAAAAAAAATAAGTGTGTATTTATAACGGCACGTAAAATATATACAGCATGTACCCCCCCGCCCTGCAGCCCCCCCCCCCCTTTGCCTTCCAAACTTCCTAAAGGGGGTCCTGAATCAGCTCCCCCCCCATCCCATGGGGTGGGCCCTGGGGAGCCCCCAGACCCCAGGATGGAGGGCAGGGAGGATTGGGGGGCAGGGGGGGGTGTCCCTGGGGTAAGTCCTTGCCCCTGGCAGGCTGGCTGTGGGCACCCACGAGCCCGCTGGCAAGTAAAACACTGGCTGTGGGGTGTCCCCCCACCCCCGGTGTTCCTGAGTAAAGGGGAGGGGGGGGCACAGAGGGGGTTTGGGGGAAGGGGCTGGGGTCACCGGCGGCTTCTCCTGGGGGTGTGGAGGCGACACGTATCGACGATAGGTTTAAATAATTCACATTGTGGTAAACTTCATTCCAAAAAAAAAAAAAAAAAAAAAAAAAAAACCAAAATAAAAATAAAAAAAATAAAAACAACCAAAAAAAAAAAACCAAAACGAAACAGGGGGAGGAAGAAGAGGAGGAGGAGAGCAGTTACAACAGCGATACCATGTGCAAAACTGTAAACCAGGCGGAGGGTTGGTTGTAGCTGACGTGGCTCCGGCAAAAACCAAACCGGGGCCATCCCCCCGCGGCACCCCGGCAGGGTGAGGGTAATTATACCCCCCCCCCCCCTTAATAAACCTCCTCCGGGATCCAGGCGCCGCTGCGGGGTGTCACCAGGGGGTGTGTGTGTGTGGGGGGGGGGCCCCCCCGCCTTCCCCCCGCCCGCCCTCAGGAGGAGTCGCGGTCCAGGCTGCAGCCCAGCGCCTCGATGTCGTTGCTGATGTGCGAGATCATCCGGTCCCACTCGTCCTCCTCGGAAGGGACCGACTGGTCGTCGGAGCTGCCGGCGGCGCCGTTGCCGTTGGTGGTGGAGTTGGAGGTGGTGCTCAGCGTCCTCCTGTACCTCCCGAAACTGTCCGTGATGATCCCCCGGCCGTCCTTCACCCCGATGGTCTCCAAGAAATTCTCGAAGTGTTGGCTGTCCTTCTCGGGGATGAAGGGGCGAAGACCTGGAGCGGGGGGGGGAAGAAAATCAAAAAAAAAAAAAAAAAAAAAATTGGGTTTCATCCGGCGACTGGCGCGTAGGGACGGATTTCCCTCAGGATTTGCTCAGCTACCCCCCCCCTCCCCAAAATTCCACGGGGATCCTCAGCCCAGGTATCGAGGCTGATTGCGACATCCCAGCCCTGCTAGAACAGCTCAGGGCTCAGTGGAGGAGCCTCTTTCGGGGGGACAGGGACCGCCGGGGTCTCCAGCTCGTGGCCAGGTCTCCCCCCCCCCCCCCCCCCCAAGAACTGGAGCCGCTGCCCACGGAGGACACAAATCCTGGGAGAGGGGGATTTTCCCAGCGCCGAAGGATGGGCTTCTCGCCCCTCCCCGAAACGCGCTGCTTGGCTTTGCTGAGCTTTATTGCTGCACCGGCATCGTCCTGCGTCCCTCTGCCCGTCCCGCCGTGGGGCCGTCACCCGCTGAGGACGCAGGGTAAGGGATTTGGGGGTTTATTCTTTTTTTGTTGTTGTTGTTGTTTGTTGGGGAGGCTTCTCTCTCTCCCACCCCGCTCAAAGCCGGGCTCGGCGCGGCGGAGACGCCGGGTCGGGCCCTCGCGCTCCTGCCCCGACCCCGAGCCCTTTGTTATCGGTGCTCTTGTGGCTTTATTAAAGCCCAAATCTAAGCGGGGGGGGGTTGAGCAGGACACCGCCCCCCCCCCCCCCCGCCTCCTCCAGGCTCTCCCTTTTCCCCAGGGGAAGGGCAGGGCCCTGCTCTCCGGGGTAAGGCAGGTCCAACGCGCCCGGCACATCCAGCACCCGAATCAGGCGCCGGCCAGGAGCCAGAACCCCCTCCCTGGCTACCAGGAAGCCCAGAAGAGCCCAGTGCCCCGGCCAGGTTCCTTCTGCAGTCAGGAGGGAGAGGTCAGCATCTCAAAGGGGTGACTTAACCCCCTCTCCCAACCCCGAGACTTTGGGAGGGGGGACTGAGCTAGACGGGAAGGCAGGATCCCCAAAGGCAAGCCGGCTCGAGGCGCTGCCCCGCGCTCGGTGACGCCCCGAGGGGGCTTTGTGCCTCCCCGAGGGGGCTTTGTGCCTCCCCGCGGCGCATCACGAGGGCTCTGGCCCTCGGCGTCGGGGAGCTGACCCTCACCTAAGAGCAGGAACTTTCTGCTGTCCCCGTAGAGCTGCTTCAGGTTGATGCAGAACTCGTGGATCGAAGCCCCGTTGCGATACTCGTGCAGGAGCATCGCGAACTGCTGGATCTCTTGGGAGGAGAGTTTCGTCCGGAGCTGCGGGGAGAGAACCACGTCATTCTTTTTTATTTTATTTATTTTTTTTTTTTCGGGAGGGTTTAGACGCTGGGAACGGCGTTTAGTGGATTTCTTGCTGCTTCCTAAAAAGCTGCAGTGATGAACCCGCTCGTCCCGAGGGAAAGGCAGGACAGGCTGGTGCAACCTGCCCTTAAAGGGGGACAAAGCGCAGGGACGGTGACAGAGGCGGCGTGAAGAGGGGGGACGAGGCGGGTGGGTGGGTGGGTGGGGGGGGATGCTCCTGCAGGAGAAGGATACGAGTCCCAGGTCAGGTCCCACGAGGCCTCCGAGCGTCGTTTGTATGAAAAGGAGGAGGACGAGCTGGTCCCGCGCCCCAGCAGGGGCTCACGTTCTACACGCCGAGGCGACGAGCCCAAGAGCGCTCAAACACCCTCAAGGGGAGGGGAAAAAAAAAAAAAACAGAAAAATAAACCCCCCCCTCCATCCCACGAGGCAGGGATGCCCTACCGTCATCATATAGTCCTGGAGCAGCTCTGTCGCCGTGGTGCTCAGCTCGCTCTCGCTGACTGTCTTAATGTGTGGAGACTGTTGCGTGGAGAAGGAAGAGGGGGAGTTGTCGCCTGCGTCCAAGGTTTCTGGAAAGGAACTGAAAAGCAAACGGAGGGCGAGTCCCCCAGGGCTCCTGGGGCAGCGCCGGGAGGAGCCGGGGGGGCACGTGGAGGCTCCCACGGCCCCGGGGGGGGGGGGATCTGAGCTGAAAGCGAAGCCCCGCGTGGGCGTGGGCTGCCCTTTCCCACTTGTCTTGGTTTGGGCTGAAATAGAGTTAATATTCCTTTTCAGGGGTTAGATGAGTGCTGCCGATCGGGCCCAAAGCACACCACCACTGCTTTCTCATTTTGGAAGAGGGAGGGGGGGCGGGGGGGGGCGTAAATAAAAATTTCAAGATGCTTCTTCAGGCGTGAAGCTGCCAAAGGGCGTCAGTCGATTTGACCCAACCGGTTTGTGCGTCGGGTTTTGCCGCTCGCAAACCACTTCAGCGGTCGGCAATCAAAGCTGGGGGGGGGGGGGGAAAGAAAAAAAAAAAAAAAAAAAAAAATTTCCAAAAGGAAGAAGTTTGGGTAAAATGTTTCTCCCAACTCTGAGCTTTCGGCGGGCGAGCGGCGCGGACACGGTGTCCGTGACCCGGCGCTGGCAACCCCGGGGTGGCAAAACAATCCTGCCCCGGGCCCCCGCAGGGGTGGAAAAACCCCCCAAACCCACGGCCCAGCGGCTCGGCCAGGGCAGGGAGAAGCTTTTCCATCTGCAGAGCGCGGGGGTCCTGCGCCGGGGGGGCTTTAAACCCGGGGGCTTTAAACCCGGGGGCTTTAAACCCGGGGGCTTTAAACCCGGCCAGCGAGGCTGCGCTGACGAGGCTGCACCGACTAACGAGCCCGAGGGCCGAGCCAGCTCAGCAGGTTTGGACTTACAAAGTGCTTGCTTCCGTCTCGTACGATTCCTTAACGTCCACTTTGGTGGAAGAGTCGTCTGCAAGGGAAACACCCCTTTGAGAGGCAGGAACTTGGTGATTTTTTCCCCCCTCCTCCTGGCCCTGCCCCACGCGAAGGAGCCGGTTTCTGGCTGGGTTTTGGCAGCTGGAAGGTGAGGGGGGGGCTCCGGACTCCGCGGAGAAGCGGGACGGCGGAGGGGATTGTTGTATTAAGAGTGTTTCTGTCCAACGTGAAGCAAAGGGCGCGGGGGGGGGGGAAAAGGAGGGTGGCTGGCGTCCCGTAGCCCAGCTGGGGAAATATCTGCAGGCCCATAACCCTCGTGCCCATCCAACTCACACGTAATTAAAGCAGAAGGTTGCTGGTTTGTTTGGGGGTTGTTTTTTTTTTTTTTTTGTTTCCAGCACCACGCAGGAGGGGCGGCTCTGACCTCGGCGGGCGGCAGAAAAGGGGTTGGTGGACTTTGGAGACGGGGGGGGGGGTTCGACCCCGGTAAGAAAGAAGGGAAGGGGGGGAGAGCGGGGGGCTCACCGCTGTGTAAGGACATGTGCCGCGTCGGCGTGGACGCCCCATCGAATATTGCTCTGTCCAAGAAGTCGATCGTGGACTCAGTGTAAACAATCTGGAAGACTTGGCTGAGAAGCGAGCACAGCTCCTCGGCGGTCACCTGGGGAGGGAGCACAGAAGGGCTGCTGGTGGTGGGAGGGGGGGAGGCAGGAGGTACCAGGGGGGGCCCTTTTTCTTCGGGGCCCTGCGAGGGGCACGCTGTATTTCTAAGGGTGTTGTCCTCCCAGCGAGGACGGGGGACCCGCTCGTCCACGATCCCGGGCACCGCTCGACCCGGGGCTGGAGGTGACCGACTTGGAAACTCGTCAGCTCTCCCTTGGGCTCCTCCTCGGCGCTGGAGGAGACGAACCCCTGAGATACATCACCCCCCCCCCGTCACCAAGCCCCACTACGACCGGCCGGGCCCAGCCAAGAAGAGCTCGGGTGCCCCCGTCGTCACCTCGCAGCTGGGCAGGAGCACCCCGATCTCGCACCGACGCTCTGTCCTGCTCCTCAGCCCGGTCCCCCCCCCCCGGGGGATTGTGGCTACATAACCTGCATCCCACATAAGTGCAGGCAGGGACCCCCGGCGAGGGTTAGAGCTGAAAACAAGGCGAGCAAAACTCCACCCCGAGGGGTTTCTGCTGCAAGAAGGAGGAGCGCGCAGGCCGAGATGAGAATCTCTGGATCTGGATACTGGGTGAAACAAATTTCCAGGTCAGCATCAGGAAAATGCCCCAAGCTAGCAAAATCCTATCGTGAGAGAGATTCGGTTGTCTTCAGGGATCTCCTGCTGCTGGAGAAAGCTGCGGGCGGCCGCCGCCAAGGGAAAACCATCTTCTGACAGCCCCTCGTGCCCGAACCAGGGGCCGGGAGGGGGTTTTTCTCCCCCCCCAGGGAACGCCTCGTGTGCCAGCAAAGCCCAACCCACGCCCCCCGCGGTCTTTCAAAGTGGGCTTCCGCGTGTCACACGACGTTTGGCCCGGTACACGCCTGCTCACGTAGCAGAGGGGGGACGCCCGGTGAGAGGGGGATGAGGCCACCCACCCCCGGGGCTCGTGGCTCTCAACCCCAGAGGTTGCAGCCCCCCCCCTGGTCTAAGAGCCAGAAAACCTCTCGATGATCCCAGTCCCGGCGGCGGCGCCGGCCGGGGAGCGATTCCGGAGGTAACCCCAAGGCGGGGCAGGGTCTGGGGGTTTGGATGGAGCGGTTTGAGTCTTACTTTGTTCTCCGTAGCCAGGATCACCAAGCAACAAGCTTCGACGGGGCCCACCCCGCTCTCGGAGAGCGAGCCCGACGTCAGCGCCTTGGAGCTCTCGGCACAGAGACTCTGGCTTGGGGAGATCCCGGGGTCCTGAGCTGAGAAAGGGAGAAATCGTGATGGAGAGGTCGAGGCAGGGGGAGACCGGGGAGTCCTCGCGTGCTCCGAGCAGGCGGGCTGGGGGGAGAGCAAAGCCCCCGAAGCCCGGGAGCAGAGGATCCCACAGCCGGGAGCAAAACCACCCGGGAGCTCCACCTGAACGCTCCACGAGTCTTTGAATGAAAAGCCTGTAATTTAGAGGCGGTTTCTGACAACTCTGTAAATCACCAGCTTCATTTCCAGGGCTCAGCCAGCCTCGGAAATCCATCAGCAGAATTACAGCCTTCTAAGTCACTTACTCATTTATCCTACAGGCTGTCCTCTGCTGTCACGGGGGTTTATAATCTGATAAATCTCTGTCGTTACGTCTCCTAAGTAGCTCAAACACGTCGCGAGGGAAATCACCCCGCAACACGGGCAGGGGCTGCGCGAGGCCGGGCTGGAGGAGCTGCCCCGGCCCGTGCTCCCTGCTGGGACACCCACAGAGGATCCCGTGGGCCGGGCAACGTGGGGTAAACCCACTGCAGAACCAGCAAAGGGCAGCTCTCAGCTGGGGGGGGGGAGACGGGCTGGAATTTCTGAGCTTGACACCCTCCATCTCTTCTGGGAGTCGCGGCGGCCTCGGGAGAGGCGCGCAGCCCGACTCCTTCCTCCGCTGGAAAAGGACGGGCCAAAACAATTCAAGGCAGGAGAGCAGAGAGAAGGAAGAAATTTTATTTTTTAACGGTGAAGGTGGGGCAGGTTCGCCCGGAGAGGCGGTGGCTGCCCCCTCCTCGAAAACATCCGAGGGGGGTCGGACGGGGCTTTGGTCAACCTGCTCTACGTGAAGGCGTCCCTGCCCATGGGACCAGATGAACTTTAAGGTCCTTTCCAGCCCAAACCAGTGTGTGAAGGACACCAGGGCCGTTCTCACCCAGTCCTGTTCCCGGTCGTCCTACACGGGGGCGATCCTGGGCTGCCGTGGGGGGCTCTGCCCCACAACCCCAAAAGATGCGACCACCTCAACCCCCCCCCCCCCCCCGGGCTAGAGCCCGGCCCTGACCTACCTGTTTTCAGCACGACCAAGTGAGAGGAGTCATCTCGGATGTAGGAAACGGACGCGATGTCGTGGATGGGGACCCTGAGGATGAGATCTTCTCCATCCCGCCACACCAGCTTGATGTTGTAGGCGGAGAGGCTGATGACGGCGTCGTGTTCCGGGGTCAGCTGCCCCGGGAGCTGGTGTGCTCTCTAAAAAGAAATATATCGACCGTTTCCCCTTTGGTAACAGGTTTCCCTCACACGTTTGGAGCGCTGGGGTGAAGGACACCAGTTAGACCCAGCCCCGAGGAAGCTCTGCAAGGCTGCTTTTTTTTTTTTTTCTTATTTTTTTTTTTTTTTTTTTGCCTCCCTGCTAGCTAGAGACGACGCAGAGCGGGGTCAGCCAGATGGGCTCACCTTCGCGTTATCGATCAGATGCAGGATTTCCGTGCGGCTGGAGGGATTCAGGTACCCCGGGATGGACGTGAGCTGCCCTAAATACTGGAGAGGGAGGGACCAAGCTGTTACTGCAGCACCACCAACACCGAGCAAAGGGCTGGTGGCCCAAGCCCCGGTTTAGAAGGTGCTAAATACACCCACGGGTGGGCGACCCCCCCGCGCCTTTAGGTCACCCCGGCGCTCGGCAGAGACCTCCAGGAGCCCCAGCCAGGTGGATGTTACCTTCACTTCTTTCTCGATGTAGTCGTTCAGCAGCACGTCCGGCTCGACGCGGTCGGGCAGGGACACCACCACCGTATGCAGAGGCCGTCTCTCCGTTACCTTCTCCTGGGCTTTTTTATCCCGACCTTTTTCGCCCTTCAGGAAGACTCGTTTGAAAGGAGACACTATTCCAGGCTGAGGAGAGGAAGGGAAACACCTTAGGCTCGGGGTTAAGGGTGAGAAGAGGGAGTTTCTGCACCAAAATGGGGGGTTGGGGGGGGGGTAACCAGCAGCACCCAGCACCCCTCCAGCCCGTACGTCTGTACCCACAGCCTGGTTTTAGCAGCCCCAACCGCCCCGCGGCCAGGCTGGTTTTAGTTACAAATCCACGAGTTCCACTGGAAAAAAAAAAAAAAAAAACAAAAACTAACCCTTCCCCACGACACGTCGCAAGAACGCTGATACGTGCCCGCTACCAAAACGGGATTTTTTTTGTTTTTTTTTCCCCCCCCCCCTCCCAAAGTCACGACGTCCAACCTTTCAGTTAAGACCAAACAGAAATATATTCCGCTTAAGAGCTGTAAGATGGCCACACGCAAAACCAGCAGGCTTCCTCCTCGCCTGGGCGCAACTTAATATTTCGCCCAAGCTTTTGCAGCGAGCAACGCAACGAAGAATTGCAAAAGGAAAAGGCCGAGCGGTTGCAAACTTGGCTGAGGTCCCCGGGAAGACCCGCAGACCCCCCCTGTACGTGACCCTGGGGACGGCCTCCCCCCGGGAAAACCAAGCTCTGCACGGGTGCCCGGCCACCGAGTGCTGGTTTTGGTGAAAGAACCTGGGAGAGACCCGGCAGCAGCGTGCGCGCACAGGATCCCAGCTATAGAGGGAGCAGCACCACCGTCCTTCTGCCACGGCGTGGGGCGGACGGTCCCGGACCGTGGGAGATCCCCACCAGCCTGCCCGAGGGTTAAATGACCAGGACTGTGCGTGGGGCGGACGGTCCTGGACCGTGGGAGATCCCCACCAGCCTGCCCGAGGGTTAAATGACCAGGACTGTGCGTGGGGCGGACGGTCCCAGACCGTGGGAGATCCCCACGAGCCTGTCCGAGGGTTAAATGACCAGGAGCGTGCGTGGGGCGGACGGTCCCGGACCGTGGGAGATCCCCACGAGCCTGCCCAAGGGTTAAATGACCAGGACTGTGCGTGGGGCGGACGGTCCCGGACCGTGGGAGATCCCCACCAGCCTGCCCGAGGGTTAAATGACCAGGACTGTGCGTGGGGAGGACGGTCCCGGACCGTGGGAGATCCCCACCAGCCTGCCCGAGGGTTAAATGACCGGGACTGTGCGTGGGGAGGACGGTCCCGGACCGTGGGAGATCCCCACCAGCCTGCCCGAGGGTTAAATGACCGGGACTGTGCGTGGGGAGGACGGTCCCGGACCGTGGGAGATCCCCACCAGCCTGCCCGAGGGTTAAATGACCGGGACTGTGCGTGGGGAGGACGGTCCCGGACCGTGGGAGATCCCCACCAGCCTGCCCGAGGGTTAAATGACCGGGAGCGTGCGTGGGGCGGACGGCCCCGGACCGTGGGAGATCCCCACCAGCCTGTCTGAGGGTTAAATGACCGGGAGCGTGCGTGGGGCAGACGGTCCTGGACCGTGGGAGATCCCCACCAGCCTGCCCGAGGGTTAAATGACCAGGAGCGTGCGTGGGGCGGACGGTCCCGGACCGTGGGAGATCCCCACCAGCCTGCCCGAGGGTTAAATGACCAGGACTGTGCGTGGGGCGGACGGCCCCGGACCGTGGGAGATCCCCACCAGCCTGCCCGAGGGTTAAATGACCGGGAGCGTGCGTGGATTTCTCCAAATTCCGGGTTTACTGGCCCCGCCGGGTGTTTTGAAGTGTGTGTGTGGGGGGGAAGATGCGACGCTCGGGATTCACAGCAGCGTTAAATATCCACCCAGAGCCTCGTGGCTTTCCTGATCCTCGCAGCCACGGAAAAGCACGGCGCGAGGGCAAGAGGCGTCCGAGGTGAACGAATTAAACAGGGACCAAGCGCTCCCGCTCGGAAAAGCGCGGAGGACTTGGCAGCCTCAGGGAGCAGCAGCCTGCAGGGAATTCAGCGCCTCTCCCGCCGCGGGGCTTCGCCTTGGAAACCACCATCAAGAAGAACCGCGGCGGACCCTTCACCGAAACCGCTCGAGCCTTCCCACAGGAGGTTTTTTTTTTGGGGGGGTGTGTGTGTGTGCCACCCCCACGTCACCGGCTCCTGGCAGCGTCCCTCCCGGCGCAGCAGCCCAAGGCACCGTGGTCAGGCGCACGGGGGACCTGCTCCCCACCCCCCCCCCCCAGCCAGGCAGCTTCAGCCCCTCTCGTTGCTTTTTTTCAGCCTAGGCGAGCGTGGAAGGTTTAAGGGGAACGAGAGCGATCAAAAGCCAGGCGGAAATAAACGGGAATCGCCGGGCCGGGATGGGAAAGCGGGATGGAAAAGCTCCTGGCTGAATCGTAGAGTCCCAGGTTGGAAGGGACCTCAAGGGTCATCTGGCCCAACCTTTCCTGGCAAAGCCCAGCCTAGGCAAGCTGGCCCAGCACCCTGCCCAGCAGAATTTTTAAAGTGTCCGATGTTGGGGAATCCACCACTCCCCCGGGGAGATTTTTCCAGCGGCTGCCTGTCCTCACGGTGAAACGTTTTCCTCTTGTGTCCGGTCGGAATGTCCCCAGCAGTAACTTGCACCCAGCACCCCGCGTCTTCTCCACGGGGCTCCTCGCAAAGAGGGAGTCTCCATCTTCTCTGTAGCCACCCTTGAAACACTGGAACGTGGTGGCAAGGGCTCCCCTAAGCCTTCTCAAGGCTGAACCAACCCAGGTCTCTCAGCCTCTCCTTGTGAGGGGTTTCTCAGTCCCTTGATCATCTTTGTGGCCCTTCTCTGGGCCCTCTCCAACCTTTTCTGTAGAGCAGGGGGACCAGAACCGAGCACAGAATCCCAGGTGCGGCCTGACAAGCAGGAGCAGAGCGGGACGATGACTTATCCCTGCAGGTCATGCCCTCGTTGATGCAGCCCAGCACCCCGGTCACTCACGTTGAGCTCGGGGGGGCTCCCAGGACCCCCGGGTCCCTTTCCACGGAGCTGCTCCCCCAGCCAGGCACGTCCCAGCCTGGGTTATGTTCTCCCAGGTGCAAGACCTTACACCGGGCCTCGCCGAACTTCAGCAGGTTCTTGTCAACCCGCTCCCCCAGCCTAGCCAGGCCCTTCCTGCGGAGCGGCTCTCCCTTCCGAAGCCTCCGCCTCCCCACTCAGTTCGGTGTCATCAGCAAACTTCACCCGGGTACCCCTGATCCCACCGTCCGGATCGCTTACGGAGAGATTAAACGGCGTTGAGCCCGGTATCGATCCCCACTTGTGACAGGAAGAGTATTTCCCAGCTCCCAGCAGGCACCACAGGGACACTGGGGAGAGCCCAGCCCTGAAAAACGTCCGTTGGACCAGGGGGGTAAAAATAGAGTTTACAGGACCAAAAGGGACAGAAAAAAAAAAAAAAACAGCTACACAATGCCGGCCTTGGGGAACAGCTCTGCCTTTACAGGAGCGGGACCAGCACCGCCACGCACCGCAGATTTTAGGGATGGCATCCCTCCTTTCAGCTGAGCTCCCGCGACGGAGCATCGCCCCGCGCCGTGCAACCCCGCCGGCTCCCGCCGAGGGGCCGGGACCGGTCCCGGCTCCAGCAAGAACAAAATCCTGAACCCAAACGGGTCCGTTTGCCAAGGCCGGAGCGTGGGGCTCGAGCCCGGCTCCGCCACGCCGGCCGCGAGGGCGTCCAAACCCAAAGCTCGGCTGCCGGGGGCGTGAAGATCCCGTTCCGCTGGCGTCTTTGAGGAGTCAAAAGCAGAGAAAGACGCAGAGATCCACCGCCGGGGTCAGGGCTGTGGCGCGACGGTCCAGCCAGACGCTTCCCCCCCCGGTCTGGAGGCTCCTGCTCGGTTCAGCCCCGCGCCGAGGCTGCCGGATCCGGCCCAATCCGTACGGAGCAAACCACAGAAAACTCCCGCTTTCCCCGCAAGGATGCAGGCAGCCCCCGAGCCCCGGGGGAGAGCCGCTGGCTCTCTTTGAAGGAGGATTTGGGGAGCCCAAACCCAAGGCGGAGCCGTTGAGGCGACGCGGAAGGACAGCTTCTGCATTTCTAGGGGAGGGGGGGGGGGGCCCGGCATAAAACCAGCACCTACCTCGTTCTCCATCGAAGCGCCCGGCTCCGGAGGGCAGAGACAAACCGTGCCGGCGTGGAGCCCTCGGCAGCCCACCCGAAGCACCTCCCCGGGGAGGGAGAGGAGCTGCTACCCTCGCCTCGGGGGCTCCCGAAGCTCGCGGCCCCGTGCCGAAGGGCTGGCAAACCCGTGAGCTTTTATTTGCCTGCCGGCTCGCGGCCGGGAAGTGCAATAACCACAGCTTCCTTCTGTCACAGGCAGCAACGGCGACAAAAATAAAAAGTTGCTGGTTCAGAATCGGCGAGGTTTGGCAGCAGCAGCAGGGCCCGGCTTGAGGCGAGGGGAGGCGCAGAAGCCCATTTCGCAAAGCTCGATCCCCTTTCCCAGCTCCCCGGCCATGCCGTCCCACCTCCTGCACCCCTAAAACCCCTGGGGACTCCCCAAAAGCCTCAGGCACCACGGCCTGGACTCGCACCCAGGCGTGGAAACACCCCCAGCTCACGGGAGATTTTTAACCCTGGTTTCTCCTCCGTGTTCCAGAGCTATTTTATTCTCCGACATCTACTGAGGCCAAGGGCTGTCCAGTTTGTTTTGTTTTTTTTTTTTTTTTCAGGGCCTTACGCTTCACGTTTGAAAAAGCAAAGTTTGGGAAGTTAAAAAGCAAAGTTTGGGAGGTTAAAAGCTCCCTGTCTGAGCCAAGGCCTCCCAGGAGGCACTTTGGGAGAGCGCAAAGTGTTCAAGCGAGCCTTGCCGGGCTCAAACGTGAGCCCGAGAGTCAGGCTCGGGGGGGATTAACGAAAACAAGCTGCTAATTTCGCAGACGGGAAAATCAAATTAAAAAGGCAAAGGCGGTGATTTCCCCGATGAAATCCACCCACTGAGCAGAGGCAAGAAGGTCGGTTGGAGAAGAAGCACCCGAAGACCTGCTGGGCCGCCCGGCCCCATCGCTCGCACCCGACGGGTCCCCACTTTGGGGGACAAGCAAACCCCGC